ATTTATTCGTAAAGAGCGTGCAATTTGGCATTTTCTAAATAATTTGCATGCGAAATTTGGAAACGATTGTAACGTCAAAACACATCTCGTGTTGATATTTATACGTGTGAATTGACGTGTTAGTGGCATTTTAGTGGCTATACGGGCTCCCCCCACTCCTCCGTTCTATTATGTATATATTATAGTATTCTATGTATGTAAGTTGCACAGTTGGGCGATGATTATTATTATTACTGTAGATGTGTTTTTTATGAATAAAGGTATAAAAAAATGTAAGGATGGAAGGAATATTGACATTTTTACATAATTCAACGAAACTAAACGGAGAACGAAGTCAATAACAATTGCCACTGGAGTCACTAAGACTAAATAAATTACTCGCACAAATAAAACCACGAGAAAACTCCGCCTGTCGCCAAGCACTCGGTTCACTTATTAACTATTGACACTGCAAATAATCGCTGCCGTTGTTCAAAAATATCCTTGTAGCTCCTTGGGATACATCAGGCACGAGTCAAGTCTGCACAGTCAGAGGGCCTTAAAAATTAACGGAATTAAGCTGCTTTCACAAGGGAGTATACTTCGGATGAATGGCCGCTGCCGACGCTAGCGATCGCCCCCTCCCCCTTCCTCGCACTTAATAATTAATGGCGGCTCTGGGAATTGCGGAACTCGGCCCTTTGACGTGAGCTTGTAAATGCTTAGTGTGGTGTACATACGAGATCATACCGGTCTTGGCGGAGGGCACGATCCATCATATGCTGACTCTAAATGCAATATCAGAATACCAAATGAATATAATTTCCAACAAGTGTTCCATTGAACAGACACAATGAATAAAATCTGTGCGGTAGTACGGAGGATGAACGAAAGAGGCGCGGAGTACCATTTTGTGGCACAACCCAAGTAGAGCCTGTGGGCTGTAACGCGTACTGTAAACTACTAATTTTTTTATCATTCTGAGCCAGCGCTTAACTACGATCCCACGTGAATCATCAGGTTTAAAGGATAGCAAATCTCATGACTGTAACCGATTTTGAATGACAGGTCAGCACAAGATGGCGCTCAAGAAATGACCTCCTAGATATTTTGTAATTTTTAAGATTGTAATAGCTGTTATTATCAGTTAGTAATTGTTTTCCAAAATGGTTACTCGTTCTGTTCGTGACTATGGTGTTAATAATAGAAATAATCTTGATGATAACACATTTCTTAGGTAAATTCTTAGGACGTCGTCGATAATTGTTATTATTTATTCATTATTCAGGTAAATACACGCATTTTGTTAGTACACTTAAAACTTAAAAGCTAGGGGTTAGTAAATTCACAAAATACATAAATTATTACTACACACAAATTATTATTTATTATTAAACATATTGGGGTCTGGAACCCATATGCACTGTGTTCCAGTACCTTATCACAGATTAATCTTGCCTTCCATATATGGAAGCTAGGAGGCCGTTGGTGCTCTCGCACGCGACGAATCAAGGAGGCTATTTTTATGCGTAATATTACTGTAAAACTGCCCACGCGTGCCTCAGAAAACATACGCGATACGCTGCAAAAATGTGGCAGCCCTAATAACATCATGAAAATTAATGAAAATAATAAGACGCGTCTATTTTTCGTTAAAATTTATGTTATATGCTGTTTAAAATACATGATATTTTCAACTATTTTATTAATTTTGATATTTTGCAAAGAAAAAAATCACGTTGTTGATAATTTGCATGAATTTGGTAAATACAATTCTATACAAAATATGTTACATGTACGCTAGCAATTGACTCTGAAATTAATGTCGATATCTTGTATGTTTATAATTAATCGATAGACTTGCCCACACAACAGAAGAGGAATGAATTTTAGGAGAATTCAGAATTCTCCTACATACTACTTGAGTTGGAGTATTCCAATATTTGTGGCTCATTTAAAATTCATAGAATACAACCTGATCTCGAGCCGCGGTACCGGCGCCACTATGAATTATTACAATTTTAAATAGTTTTTTATCGTGATTGTAGGACGTTAATGGGTTATAAGGCTGTATTTTCAAGGTAGATGAATTATGATTTTATTTATATCTGCAGCTAAATAATAAATAAAGTACCTATAACACTACGTTTTTAAGGGATGCGGCTGTCTGAGTGTTTGTATAGGTGGTGAGAGTAAGGTAAAGTCAAGTCAAAAGTATTTATTTGCCAAAAATGTTAAAATTTAGAAAGATAGCTAAATATATAATAATCAAACATGTACCATTTATATGATGTCTTTCAAGTATTGTGATACAATTACTCGTTTTATCCATAACAGCCAAGCAGCCATTATAAAAAAAATTCTCGTAAACTCTAGAATTCTTGAGAAATTCTTGTCGGGATGATTGATGAATTGATGTCAGGAGATGAGAATCCCTAATTGTATCAAGTAGATTAATAATAATAAAGTATAAGTGCCCGTTTTTAATATTGTATTATTTCTTTTAACTGATTCTTTGAAGCTTAGTGTTGTTTGCATGCTGTTAAGAAATACATATGTCTAATATAAACTTATTAATATATTTATATTTTACTAATAAAAATATGTGTTTGTCTGGCCGAGGTATTATATTTTATATAACATCAATAACAGACACCAAGGACAGACAATTACCGTAGTATACCCGTAATACCGGGGTATATCATTTTTGGACCATAGTTATAGTATTATCTTTTGAAAAAAAAAACGTATCATAGATAATAGAAATGGTATTTGATTATTTCAAATTAAAATAACTCAGATTAATATATACTATCGTTAGTAACAAATACACACTTCGATACCTTACTTCCGGTTCTATTTTTAAGAGATATCAAACTGTACACAGTAAATAGAGTAAATTCCAACATTTTTCCGTTTACTTATTTATAATCCCGTCGTTTAAAGCAGATGTTATGACCGCTGCTCTAAATGATAATATTATTTAGGGAACCCTTCCGTCTCACATGAATGTAACTAAATATTTACATAAAAGTCAACACTTTATACATTTTTCGAACTTTTTGAAACCATTTTACGCCGTGGACGTTTTGAAATGGTTGTATAATATATTTATTTATGTATATTGCGTTAAAAAGGTGTATTATAATATTTTTAAAAACTTTTTAGTTTTAAAAAAAATATATTACTTTAAGTAATGTAGGGAAAGTTGAAATCTGGCTAACACATCTATATAATTATTAAAATAATATGTTTAATATCCTCCACATTATATTGTTACGAGCTTGAGTTATGTGGAGACTTTTACCCACTAAACTCCACCTTTTAAGGACTGGCTTAACGGTCTAACTAGAGATCTCTAAGCTGTATACGGACGCGACCCTCCTTGGCAGAAAGGAGGCGCCAACCTCGATCGCGTCTTGCAGCGCCTTTAAATACACATTTTTCACCGAAACATCCAGAATATTCAAGTAGTAAATACGGGCGCCAACCGACCAGGCGCTGAAAGGTCGAGTGTAAGGCTTCTGGAAAGCTTAATTATTCTGTTCGATACTAGATGGCGCTGTTGGTCGAAAGTTAAGATTGACATTTTCTAGGGAGCTCTCCTCGCTCTGGTCCCCGACACTAGATGGCGCTAGTGCCGGGTACATGGCGTCAACTCTGCGTGCAACAATATGCCCCCTCAGTTGTCGTAACAGATGACAGAGGATACAACAAATCAAAAAATGGGCACCAGCGTCTTCCTAATAAGAAGTAAAAATAAAAATAAGAAGTACGGTTTCCAATCCGCTTGCAAATAGTCCCTATCCATCCATATAATGTTCACTATGGAGAGGCTTCTGTTCAGTAATGGATTCTTGATCCACAACAAGTAAAGTTTTATAATGGTGTTTTAAACTATGATTCTCAATTGTTGCAGGACACCGGGCGGAGAAGGCGGCAAGCTGGCACGCTCGGCTCGAGTCACATGTAGGCTCCCAAATTTTTACCACACATATCTTTAAATTTTCATACAATTATAAATTCAGAATGTAAGTTATATAATAATATATACAGAATGAAATATAGTAAGTATTTAAAAGTCAACCTCGTCTGCACATGGTGCAGACTGTTGATCGACTGATGGCAGGAAATACCATACAAAAGCGTTTGATCCAAATTTTTAAGACTGGTGGTGGAGAATCTATTTTATAGCTGGATATGTATCGGTTCTGTATCAACCCGTTTGCCCGGCGTGCCTTTTCACTATGTGCATATATTTCTTTAAAATACTGGCCTACTGGTGCTCTTTACATCTGCTAGCAGGTAGCTTAACACCATTGACGTTACCGGTGACGTTGTGTGTAATTTGGGAAAAATTGTCAAGTTTGCTATAGAACTGGTGGGAAAATGTCTAATTATTAAGGTTAATCTATTTCTCAATTCTATCCATTCTGTTACGATAAAGTTGGATGTCAGAATCTTCATTAAATGTTCTATATTCACTCGTGGGTGAAGATTCCATACTGAATGCAAATTATCTTGTTAAGCATTTCGATAGGAAAATTTCTTATCCAAGAGGATGGGACACAACACAAATGTTTTCAATGTATTCTAGGTGGTATGACTAAATTTATACTAGGTGTTGGGACATCTTTTGTAACTAAGAGTCCACCAGACCACCCTCTTACTTATTTCTATCACCAGGTTTCGTATTGCTGTGCTCCGGTATCAATAGTAAAGACAGCCAAAACAACTAAAAGCTGAGATACATTCCATCTTGGTCCTGCGGGGTGAAAACAAATGATTATCAGGTAAACTATAAGTAATTTCAGTGTTCTAAAGAAAAATATAAAATACCAATTGTCTTTTAATATATGTATCTTGAGTTGTTAAACAATTGCGGTGATACCTAAAGATATAGTATTTTTTTTTCAAGCCCAATTAGCCATGAGATCTACTTAAGTCAATGGCCCACGTACATACATATGTATGTACCTAATTGTATATATTTATTATTTATACCGCAGAATATAGGCGACATGGCGTGTAGGCGGCGAGAATGCTGCGTGGCTGTGCTGCTGGCCGCCGCCGCCTGGTGCGCCGCGGGGCCCGGCCCGCCCGCGCTGCACTTCTTTTGCGACCTCTACAACGTCACCATCCCGGAGAACTCGCCGCCGCGCACCTACGCCGACTCGCCGCCCGCCACTGAGCCGCTCGGCGTACAGCTGCCTGTACAAGAGGCACGAATCCGTTTTCGCATTCGCCATGGCGACCGCGACAAATTCTTCAAGGCCGAGGACCACACTGTCGGAGATTTCTGCTTTCTCCTCATTCGTACGCGCGCAGGTCACTCTGATGTGCTTAACCGCGAACGTCGCGACTCCTACCGCTTAGACGTGCGTGCTACTGCACATATGCCCGACGGTACACAGCTCGAGGCGGATACGGTTGTCGTAGTCGAGATTACGGATGAAAATGACTTGAGTCCGCTATTTTATCCGACGGAGTACGAAGCGCTCGTAACGGAGGATACACCACTTCACTCCAGTATTGCGCGCGTTACCGCTGAGGATGCTGACATTGGTATCAACGGAGAAATTTACTACAGCCTTGCTGAACCGACTGATCGCTTTGCGGTGCACCCAACGAGTGGTGTAGTGACAACAACGCGCTTACTTGTGGCATACTCTCGCCATGAGATAACAATACTGGCACGAGACCGTGCATCATTACTTATGCGCGGCGAAGATGCTTCCGCTGCGCGCGCTACGTTAATAGTTCGCGTAGCGCGCGTAAATCTACATGCTCCAGAGCTCCGTGTCCGTCGACTACCTGAACTTGTTGAAAATTCTACTGCTGAGATTTACGCCATTATAGAAGTAGTGGACCAAGACTTCGGAGAACACGGGCGCATCGCCAGCCTTGAGATTGTAGACGGCGACCCCGATGGGCATTTTCGTGTAAGGCCCTCCACACAACTGGGAGAGTATGATATTTTAGTGCATGCGTTACTGGACCGGGAGATGGCCCCTCACGGCTATAACCTTACCTTGCGCGCGTCTGACGCTGGAAAACCACCGCGGTCTTCATATCTCACCTTGCCTGTAACGCTCATTGATGCCAACGATAACGCTCCTGTCTTTAGTCGTGAAACCTATGAAGCGAACATTCCAGAGACCGCACCGCCAAATACGCCCGTTATTAGACTTAAAGTTAGCGATCGCGACGAAGGTCACAACGCACGTGTCTACATTGAGATAGTCGGTGGCAATGAAGGTGGAGAATTTGTCGTCAATCCAGATACTGGCGTGCTTTATACAGCCGTTCCACTTGACGCCGAAGAAAAATCGCTTTATACACTTACAGTTTCAGCCATTGACCAGGGAAATGCTGGAACTCGTAAACAGTCTTCAGCTAAAGTTAAAATAGCTATTGTAGACGCGAATGACAATAATCCCGTTTTTGATAAAGAATATATGGAAGTCACAGTATTAGAGAATGGACCTAGTGGCACGGTTGTGGCCCGTGTCTCGGCGAAAGATGCTGATTCTGGTGAAAATGCTTACCTTTCTTATAGCATCGCTAACTTGCAACCGGTTCCATTTGAGATTGATCATTTTTCGGGTGCCGTGCGGACAACCAAGATATTGGATTACGAGAGTATGAGACGAGAATATTTTTTAAAAATACGTGCTAGTGATTGGGGTTTGCCTTATCGGCGTCAAGCCGAAATGCGACTCAATGTACGCCTTCAAGACATTAACGACAATAGACCACAATTTGAACGAGTTGATTGCGTTGGCTACCTGCCCAGACGTTTAGCAATAGGACACGAGATTGCAACTCTCTCAGCTATCGATTTTGATTCCGGCGATGTCGTCTCGTACCGCATAATAGGCGGTAATGAAGACAACTGTTTTTCACTCGATTCAAGCACTGGCGTTTTAAGCCTTTCTTGTGATCTGGCTGACGTGCGAACTGAGACTAGAGTGCTAAATGTTACTGCGACGGATGGTACGCACTTCGCTGATCCTGCTTGTCTGACGCTTCACTTAGTAGGCGGCAGCGGTGGCGATAGCAGTGCGCTCGAATGTCGCGACACCGGTGTGGCGCACCGTCTAATCGAGTTACTAGCCGCAGCAGAACGAAGCAATGCCCCCATAGACTTTGCCGAAGATTTTCCGCTGGCACCTTCTCGATATGGAGAAAATTTACATGTACCTGAATTCATCGACTTTCCCGTAGAGGTTAAAGTAAACGAATCCGTAGCCTTAGGTACATCGCTGGTGCGCTTGCATGCTCGTGACCGTGACCTGGGCTATAATGGCCTCTTAGTTTACGCTATTTCAGGTGGCGACGCTGACTCTGCCTTTCGTATTGACCCAGACACTGGTGAACTCAAAGTAATCGGCTACTTGGACCGTGAAAGAGAAAGTGAATACTATTTAAACGTGACTGTCTACGATTTGGGAGTACCTCAACGCTCTAGCTCACGATTACTTCCAGTGACTGTGCTAGACGTGAACGATAACCCTCCAAGTTTCGAGAAAACCTTAGCGAGTTTTCGTGTAACAGAAAATGCTATAAATGGTACCGCAATATTTCGAGCAAATGCGACGGATCGCGATGCGGGTGAATTTTCCCATATCACTTACAGTTTAAGTGGTGCCGGCGAGGGTGAGTTCTGTGTAGAGCGCGATACGGGCGTTTTAATGGTGTGTGCTGTCCTTGACCGCGAGCGGCAGGCACTGTATGAACTCACGATCCGCGCTACGGATGGAGGTGGTCTGCGCTCCGAGGCACTGGTGCGCGTTGCCGTGGATGACGTAAATGACAACGTACCGCGCTTCGCCCTGTCCTCATATAGTGCGCGCGTACGCGAAGACGTGCCTATAGGAACACCAGTTGCAGTTCTTGAAGCTTTCGATCCTGATCTCGGCGCTAGCGGAATGGTCACTTACTCGCTGCCCGATCAGTCTCCTGACGATATCGTTTTCACAGTCGACAGTACCTCGGGTACTATCCGTACTGCAAAACTTCTCGACTACGAGGAAAAACAGGTTTGAATTTATTAAACTATATCTTATTTATTTAGAAGTTAGTTAAAAGGTTCACTAAATATTTTGCTCCTCGCATATACAAGCTTCCTCGAGGTGTCGAATCACCGCCAAGCAAATGATGAGTCAGCACTTAACACAAAGGTACAAAAAATATTACGGAGCAAGTTATAACACAGCTGCTTTATATGGTATTTTGCCCATATTAAATCTTATTCATGCTTAAAATAACTACAGGCTGTTTTTTTAATTTATACATTTTAATATGTATTTTACTTGACCATGTAGTGCGGTATAGGAACATCCACACAACCTCATATAGTCCTTGTGGGTGTCGTAATGCGGCAGAGGAAAACAAACCACTAGATGTCCAGCAGCGTCTGCCTAACAACGAATGAAGGTGAGAAAATGTGAAGCCTGCAGAGTGGCAGCTGTGGCAAATATGAAGGAATCTAAGGGAAGGCCTATGTTGAGCAATAAACTTTTGATAAGCTTTTATAAATGAATAATAGAAACTAGGACTACTTTATATATATATATATATATATATATAGATAGATAAAATGCACGTAAGAATATCGTTTGGTCTAGTCTCTTAAGTGTCGTAAGAGTCGATTTAAGCAAATACTATTTATACATCGATCACAGCTATATCAAATCATCTAAAGTCCACTGCTGAACGTAGGAATCCTCCTTTAAGGGAAATGTAACCTCAAATGGCTTAGCAAGATCCTCCGTTATGCCGAAAATATTGCAGGATTAACTTTGAAATAAATATATGGTAAAGTTGAGGATTAATGTTAAGGATTATGTTAGACGAAAACACGATTCCGTAAAATTTTTCCGATAGAAAAAAAATCCAAAGTTACCTCCAAAATAAACAATAAACCGCTGTTATTCATAATACTTTAAATAAGATCATGAAACTTTGCATACTAAGTGAACTAACTATAAAGCAGTGCTTATGTTATTTACTTTTTTAAAATACCATTATTTTCACTGTAAAAAGAAATTACCTAAACTATCGGCCTCTTGAAGCGTGATTCCTGCCACCCGGCCCGGCCCGGTCAGTTTCGCTTCGGCCTTTGAAGGGGGAGGTTGTGTCGCTTACGATCAGAATACACATTACGCAACAGGACGACGTAAAATTAAAATGGGAAATAACCGTAATAAAAATAAGAAGCGACTGGCTTGGCGTTAAGAAACAGGCATAAATATAATAAACCTAATGAAATAAGTGTCACAGTATTAGTGATTACAAACATGTCGGTAACGACGCGCGGGGAATGGGGGCAAAATTAGAATTTGAGCTGACTTACTATATCCCCCCTTAATTATCTCGTAGAGGGAATTTTGCCGTAGTATCCACGTTTGGTTTCACAACCGTAGTTTTTTTTTATTTTGAGTTCTCTTACTACATCCACGGGACGATATTTAAGACAGTCGCCTAATAGCAGGGTGCGGACCGCGAACTCAAAAAGTGGTGGGTTCGAATCCGCCATCCGATTGCTCTCGTGAACCGATCCTACCACAAGCGTTTAAAGCTTATCAAGAGTGGTTACAGGGAATATCAACAATGTTGATAGTATTGTTAGAAAAAAGTATGTGGGGTGATGATTCTTACATCAACACTACACGGCTTGTCGGTATGACCATTTTTATAACTTTATTAAACCCGATGTAAAATGCCTATACCAGTAACAGAAAGCGGCATCGAAGGTTCAAAAGGTCTGATTCTCGTACTGCGATCGCAAACCCACGTAACAGGCGTTGTGATTATAGCACATCCTTTCCACTTTGGAAGAGCCCCAAGTCCAGTTGTAGATTGTGACCATTGAGCTATTATGTACTACGTACTAGAGGCGACATTGCATTCAGCTACTATGTTCCACTCAACTGCGGTGCATACACCGCACTTTAATCAGTCACTTGCTAGGCGCTTATAGAGTTGTCACGTGTTGTCAATCTGAAAATCTCTTGATAAAAATATGCCGTCGTGTGTACTTAGATATTGCACAAATAATTCAAGAAATGTTAGTAAAACCAAGGAATTACTTTTCATCGGTTAATAAGAAGAAAAAGTAATATAAATTAATAATAAAACAAATTATTCCTAAGACGCCATCTCGTGTCATGGAATATAGATTATGAAATTAATATGTTCAGATACGACATTTCTGTGGGTACTTAAGTATAGGACGAATATACTATTATACACATTTTTTTATAGAAACATATATAAGTTAATATAATTAGGCTAAATTTTTCATATTTAAATCTGCTTATTATTCTTTTATTTTATTAGTGTCCAGGGAGTTTCAAGGCAATAAATCGATCTAGCTAGGATTTATTTTTAGAAAATGTCCTTTTGTCCGTGTTTTCAGGCAATAAAAAAACTGCTACAATATAAGAAGGTAAATTTTGACGTATAGCGTAGCGATCGTAATAGCTCAGGTGGGATGTCGGTCTGGCGTGATATCGGAGTTCCGTGGTTCGCTGTCCGTCTTGGGTCCGACTTTTTTTTCCTTTTTTTTCAAATTCCCTTCTTTTGTGAGAATATCTATTATTTCGAGCCCTTTTTTTTAGTAATTTTTTAAAAATAAGAAAAAAATTTAATTAAACTAATTGCACTCATGATTTTCATTCAAATAACCAGTTCAGTTTTTTCTATTATGTCAATAAGATCAAAAAATATTATTCATGTAATTTGTATCTAAATGTAACTTAAAAAAAACCGAGCGAAGCTCGGTCATCCGGGTACTGAAAATATAATATACAAAATAAATGACAAAATTTAAATATTATTCTCGATATAATTTACCTATTTAACAATACAATCTACTATTACTTACGGGTCATTCTACCTATGTTTATTCTATGATAAAAAAACAACCACGTGAACACAGAGTAGCGCACATTTTTTGTTTGAGATAGCTGTTCTAGTACGTAAGTACATATTACTTCAATGATTGTGATAGACAGTTGTAGATTGTTCACCGATGGTGAACAATTCCACAGAGAAGTTGTTCAAGGAAGAAAACTCTTAGTAAGTCACACAGTAGTGACCGCCAAGAATCCAGATGATATGGAACGTAACGTGAGTTTTGTCGCCATGTGCGTTGGTGAAATTTCAATGGCTCTCATCGGGTCGATTGGCTGTAGCACGAATGAGTCGGTTCGACCGGGGTAGGACCACGCTCTATCAGAATATCAGCGTAAAATGGCAACTTACTGCTGCTGTGTTTTGTATGATGCTGAGATGAGTCCTCAGGGGTGACAACGCATCTGCATTTTGATTCTAAGTCAAGGATAAATGTAGATGTCAATGGGTCAAAGCATATATTTACTATCAAATGGACTGTGTGATCGTTTGTCACGCTCATTTTATAGAAAAATCGCGCGTGTGCAGGTGTACGGCCTGACGGTGCGCGCCATGGATGGGGGGCGGCCGGCGATGTGGGGTGAGGCCACGCTGGTGGTAGAGGTGGGTGACGTGGACGAAAACCGGCGCTCGCCTCAGTTTGAAGCTCGAGGTGCGCTGGCGTTGACAGTGCGAGAAGACGCAGCTCCAGGAGCGACCGCCGGCTTCCTGCGTGCAACTGATGCGGACCCACCTGGCCGCGACTCACGTCTCTCCTACTACGTGCTCGACGGATCCGGCATGGCGCACTTCTCCGTGGATGACACCGGTTTGTGGGCTCACCCAAACACGCACACCTCGGCCATGAAACGCATATGTCGACTTGTCAAGGTCATGCTACCCGTTCACGGTCATATCGGGTTTTTTGGCTGCCTCATTTGTTTAGTGGGCTTGTATTAAATAACAGTTTTTGGGTTTTTCTGTCAAGAAACTATATAGCAGTAGTTTATAATTAACGTTGTTGCACCCTTGTGCCTCGAAAAACATGTGAAGCTGTTCTCTCTGTTGCTCTCTCTAGTCGTGTCGAATTACCGTACAATCGGACCACGAGAGTGACGTAATAGAGAGTGCCCCTGTGTTTACGCATACACTCAGGAGTTATAATTCTATCCTGTACAGGTGGCTAGTGTCCGTTGAGACTGGCCGCCATGACCGCAATACAGTCTAGAGGACGTTACTTTTACTGCTTTAAATCGTTGAGAAAACATTAATATAACCAGGAAACACTATTAAACTAAATGTTTGTGTTAAGTCTTGCACTACGTATTACTACAAAAACGTCCAATGAAAAGGTTTTCGTTGTCCGTTACTCGATAGTAAAAAAAAATATGTTACCAGCATATTTTGAAAACGACTTACCGGAATCACTTACGCAACATTGCTTATACAACATATTTTGATTATTCCTAAAAGTGCGACAGTATCTGACATTAGTCTGATCCAGAATTGTTGTTGTTTTGTAGCACAACAATAATTATAAATCGTTCGACATACTTTGTTTAAAACATGACCTTATAATTTAACATCCTGCGACAGTCCTAAATAATAAAACTGACACATGGACTGAAACATAAAGTAATTACTACTGAAATTATGTCCAGAATATTGTTTTTTCACACAGTTATACTACCTAAAGTCACAAAATGTCGGATACAATTTCAATTTACAAAAACTTAGACACAATTACAGCATTTGGTTTATTGCTATGTGTATGTTAAAAATGTGAGAGTGCTGTTGGAATATTGCGCTTGATTCCATTACGCACATGCACAGGGCTGGTGCGCACGCTGACGCCGCTGGACCGCGAGACGATGCCGCACTACTGGCTCACCGTGTGCGCGGAAGACCAGGGTCTCGTGCCGCGCCAGGCCTGCATACAGGTAATTACACCGTAGCCATGCATGTTACATCGACACAAATTCAAAGGTAGGCATGTTCAGTTGCCACTTACGATCAAGTTAACTTAAAATAAGGTTATGTACCATTATAATATTTTAAAGCTTCATAATATTTTAACAATTTAAAAAAGTCAAAGTTAAATCACAGCATCTATGGACAAAATTATTTTTAATTTAATACTGTGACTCTGGCACCAAAAGTAGACGTAGATTTGCTTAACAACATTGTTCTTAAATTAAAGGCATTTTTTCTTTCTAATAGTTTCTAGTAATTTTTGCTAATACGCGTATGTTATTTTTTATAATTATTTTACATCAACTCGTTATTTGTTCTACTGTTTTAATTCCACCTGTCGCAAATTATCATTGTCCTTCTTCCTCTACTTATTTATGTATTACTTGATGTTATATTTGACTGTCTTGTACCTAAGTCTAGTGGTTGTAAAATGCGGTTGCAGATCATGAGGTTCCGGATTTGAATCCCGAGTCTGGCTAAAATCACTCATTGGGATTTTCTGTTGGGTAAGAAATTCTCAGTAGCAGCTCAGAGTCAGGAAGTTGGCGATGTTTCACCACCGTGTCTCAAAACCGTGTCTGAAAAGCGCGTAAAGCCTGATTTCTCTTTGGTCGTGTCAGTTTAGTGTCTCATCGGACTAAGAGAGTGAAAAAAGTATAAAAATTGAAATATAGAGTGCACGTGTGCGCATACACGCTTGCGCATATACTCGGGAACTATAAACCTGTCCTGCGCAGATGGCCAGTCTCCATTGAATCTGGCCAGCGTAATCGAAATTCGGTCTGGAAAACATTATGCATTATACTTGATGTTTCAGTTGTAAACTTTCCAAAACATTTTTATTTTATTTTATTGTCATAAAAACGTTACTCAAACAGCACAATTACTTATAGGTCTTTCAAATACTTGTTCCGTGCGAAATTCGAACCCGTGGCCCTCAGCCCCGCAATGCCGAGCCACTGCGCCATGAGCCGTTGTAATAAAATTGTTAATTATTAAGCTACGTCCTCAAATAATATCCTTTAATTTTCAATTTTTATTAATTATTCCACGAATGTTAAACGTGAATCTTATTGGGAAATAAATAAGGTTTTCATCGAAGTGGAGGACGTGAACGAGCTGGCGCCGTGGCCGCTGCGCGCGGCGTACAGCGCGCGTGTGGCGGAGCAGTGCGCCGCCGGCACGCACGTGGCCACCGTGCGCGCCGCGGACGGCGACGCCGCGCCCGAGCCCACACGCGTGCGCTACGCCATCGTGGCCGGCAACCCCGACGGCCTGTTCGCGATCCACGAGGACACTGGTACCCTCGCCGTTCACATGGTTGACTAAGAGATTCGAGGCATATAACTAATTTTATGCATTTTATCGCGTTTCATTTTAACTTTTCTTTACTTTAACACCTTGACCACTACCCATGAAACGATAAAGCGACACTAAAAAGAGACTATTATATTTTTTTACACTCGACGTTTCAAGCACTTTACAGCACCCATGGTCACAGGCGGACTGAGGTGATTAACGTCCTTATGTCAAAATTAACTCGGAGTACCTTCAGCTTTTAATTTTGGTCCGATTTACTCAGAATGACCTTACTGTGTCTTGAATACTCAGAGCGGTATGCTTGGATTTAGTTTTATTTATTCTTAATTGTTATACCATATACCTAAGGTAACGAAGGGCGGGCTCAATGCCTCTCGGAATTCTCTGCCAGTGAACCCACAGTGTGGTGATCTATTATGGCAGGTGTAAACTAGCTTTATGATCTTCGGAAAAAAAAATAATTATATTAGTACTAAAGTATATTGATTCAAACTATGTAAATTTAAATACAAATATATATATATATATATATATATATATATATATATATATATATATATTTGAATCAATTTTAATCTTATTGATTACGAAATTTCAAAAACGTTATAGTACCAAGACGGTTAGCGCTCGCTGTAAACTTCACAGTACGCGAGCAAACCGGGTTCGATCCCCGCCGACCCCAATGAAATTATTAATTGCAATTTTAAGTGCTGATTAAGTGCTGAAACCTGCATGTCAGAGAAATAAGAAAAAAATATTTCGAAGACATGTGAAGTTCGCCAACACGCATTGGAGCAGCGCGGCGGACAATTCCTTGCCCTAAAACCCTCTCAGAAATGAACGGAGGCCTGTGCCCAGCAGTGGGATGTATATAGGCTGTAATTTTACTTTACTTTACTTTTTTATAGTACCCAGCCTCTTTCTCTATTGAAATTATTTGGTAAAGCCACGCTGCAGATATATTATGGTTGTAGCACGAATGGGTCGACTCGACCGGGAGAGACAACGCTCTTACAGAATCCTATGGTGAGTGTAGAGAACGAGTGTAAACGAGTTTAGATGTAGATGTCTATGTGCCACAGCATCCATTTAACAACAGATGGACTCTGTGCTTGTTTTTCATTCTTATTTTTTTAAATAAATCTTTTGGATATGTATTATATATTTATACCGCACTTGCGGTTATTACGTGCATTCAGGTGAGATCGTAACGACGGGGCGCACGCTGGACCGCGATACGGCGGCGACGCACGCGCTAGAGGTGTCCGCGTCGGACGGCGAGCTGACCTCCAGCGTGCGCGTGCGCATCGCACTTGCTGACATCAACGACCACAAACCCACATTCACGCAGCGCTTCTACGACTTCCACGTGCCTGTGCGCGACGACGAGGTACTGTACCACTTAGTTTTATTAAATTACGCCTTCTTTGGAGTCGTTGCAATTTGAAACTTCGAAAAAGTCACACTTTATAAGGGTGCCAACGAGCAGACAGTCTACCTAATGGTAAGTATTTGCTGTGTCCCATAGACATCTATATTTATCCTCGATTGCGAATTAAAATTCAGATGTGTTGTCACCCGTGAGCACTAAGATGGAATGACCCGTTTCCCGTAAAAGTGGTCTCCGGTTCCCTACACTCACCATACGAAAGTATTCTGTGAGTGCGTGGTCCTTCCCCGGTCGAGCCGACCCATTCGTGCTACAACTATACTACTAATACATTGTGGCTGTACCACGTATAAATAAAGACAAACTAAACACTTAAAGAGAAAAACAAATACATTTATAGGCTTTAACCTGCGAGAGATTAAGATAAGATACAGTATACGGTGCTTTCTATTATCTCGGTGTCCTCCTTGTGTGGTACTTTAAGGTATATGCTCAATATTTAACTAAAAAACAAAATTTAATCATATTGTTACGAGCTTGAGGTTCGTGACAATAAAAATTGCCGATAGAATTACCTAAATTAACACTTTAATTTTCTTTACACAAATTAAAACTTAAAACACCAATAATTAAGCACACTAATTCACTTTATTCCGCTCCGAAGCTTCGCTTGTCTCGCCAAATTCAATACTTCCCCGATCGCACCTTGCAGCGCCTATAACATTAGTACCGAATCATCCAGAACATTCAAGTAAATACGCGCACCAATCGACAAAGTGCCGAAAGTTCGAGAGTCAGCTTCCAGAAGCTTAGTTCTTCGTTTCGACAACAGATGGCGCTGTCGATTGAAAAATTAGTGATGTCATTTTCTGGAAAGCTCTCCCCTCGCTCCGTTACCCAACACTACATGGCGCTAGTGCCAGATGTCAACTTAGCCGCGTAACAATATTGAATAAAACTATCGTTCATTACACCACGAGTTCCTAACTTACTGAGTTATATTAAATTAGTTGTGTTTAGGCCATAGAACTATTTAGCCATAAGAGTAATAAATAATTAAAAATATGGCTTGTACTACATTGAAATGAAAATCATCCCTCAGCATTACCACTTCATTTAGTAAGTGTCGTAAAAGAAAACAAGGAAAATTCCAGGCTGCGTCATAAGAACACAATAATTAAAAATATATGCTATTTAACATAATTAATATAATTGGTTTTCAGGATGATGAAGTAGTGACAGAAGGTGCAGAAAGTAGCGCAGAGGGCGAGGGGGAGGGGGCGGGAGAAGAAGAAACTGATAGCGAGTTGGAGAAGGAGGACGAGCGACTTGTCTGGGACGAATGGGACGAGCCGGATCCCAGTTACATCTACGTTGCCACGGTTTAAAGATTTTGTTTCATGTTTCGGGACGCTATTTGATATAATAAAAAGAAAATATAATTTTTATCCAATATATATCGCCTACTTTAGAAAATTTCAGAACAGACAAATAAAATTTATTGGAGAGTTTACACAAAAATACTCACTACCACGAAGCAGATCACCTTTTAAATAATATTTGATGGAACGTATATTATATGCTGTTATTTTACTTTTAAAACGACAGTAGAGCTTATTTTATGTCGAGCCTCCTGTTTTTACTTTGATATTTGAGCACGATGGAGTTTTAATTTGATCTAATGTAGATTTAAATAGTACGGAACAAAAATTTATTATAAAATTTTCATATCAAAGTTGAAGATCTTTAGATTTATAGTCACTCAACAGGATGTCTTTTTCTGGGTGTGTACTAACTTACATATGTTCGTAAGATAGTGAATTTTTCATCTAAGATAACTGATAACATCGACTTAAATGCAATTTTATATCATGGGTAATTGCATAAGTTAATGAACATCCGATTTAGTTTTCTATTAAAATTAATTCAGCAGTTTTATAAAGTTGATTTCGAAAAAAGCTGAGAAGTACGTCTTAAGCTACAAATAGATTCTTTATATTTAATTTAGTTTAATTAACAAATGAAAGTTTATGTTGTGAGTGAGTGTTTAAGTTATGAGAGAGAAACAGACTTTCATTCAAATTCATTCATTTTTATTTTATTATTTTTTCCTAGGTCCCTTGTAGTGCTAAATAGTTACACATAGAGCTTGACGTGTATTTATATATAAACAACATATACTTCAAAAACTTCACTTCAATTTGAACATTAGATATTCCTAGTCGATAATCTTGATTTATAATTAGTTTGGGCAGTGTCAGTTGCAATAACTGTGTACTCATGACAGGTGCTGGCGCTGGACAGCGACGAGGGCGAGAACGGCACGGTGCTGTACAGTGCGCGCGCGCGAGGTGCGGCCCGCGGCCTGCTGCGGGTGCGCGCGCGCTGCGGCCGGCTGTACGCCGCGCGCGCGCTCGCCCTGCGGCGCCGCGCGTACGACTTCACCGTGAGTGTCGCACGCATGCACCTTAATATGTATTCGTGTATGTAGCAGTGGGTGTACTCGAGGTGTGCGTGCGGGTAGTAGTATACATAGAAGTGGTCACGGGGCGTACTCGTGTACGTAGTAGTGAAGTAACATTTGGTGTGCGTGCAGGTGCGTGCTTGCGACGGCGGGAGGCCCGCGCGTTGCGCGCTGAGCCGCGTGCGAGTGCGCTGCATTAAGGCGGGCGGCGGGCGCGCGCCGCGGCTGGGCCCGCCCGCGCCGCTGCAGGCCGCCGAGCTGGACGCGCCCGGCTTCCTGCTGGCGCTGCTGCAGGCCACCGACCCCGACAACGACGCACTCTACTACGACATTGTCGGTCAGTGCAGTCCTCTTAAATATCTCAACAATTACTGTCCAATTTTGCAGATGATTCAAATTAACATTAATATTTTTAATTACAGCTTAACACACATTATTTTAATAATTGTTTTTGTTATCCTTCTAACTATTACACACTATGACTGTCAATAAAAGTGTAGTGGCGGCGTAAGTATATTCCTAATAACGACAAAAAATAAAAAATAAACTGAAGTTGCTAACCCGCTTGTCGCACGTGGCAACCATAACAAACACATTGGCTATGAGGCAAGCTACGGGGGAGGCTTACGTTCAGCTGCACTTTGATATGCTGTGTCGGTAACAATAAATGACATAGCACTCTTTGCTTATGATACGTTGATTAAGAAATGAGTAGCGCAGGATTTGCTTGCGCAGACGGCGACCCGGAGAACGACTTTGTGGTGGGGCGCGAGGACGGCAGCCTGGTGGTGGCGCGCCGCCTGCTGTGGGAGCGCCGCGCGCGCTATGCGCTCAATGTCTCCGTCACTGATGGCCGCAACACCATCTACACCACGGTACGCACCTTCCTTTATATCTCATAGTTTTACTTTTACATCTAGCAGTTTTTTGTTTTATTTTCTTTATCTCAAATATAAATTAAAGACTTTTCTACAAATTTTATAAAACTTCACTTCATTCACAATCTTAATTTACTTGTCACAAACTTCAGCAGCACTTCACTTCACGCCTAACCAAACGATCACAGCCAATATCCTGTTCCAAATCCGATATTTCCACCCCCATCAAAGACCTATATCAACTCTTGTCACACTAGTTAAAGATATTTTACGATTATCGCTGTTACTCAAACCTCATTGTGTATCTAAAGTCAAAATCAAATCGTTATGAAATGGTTTGCAGGTAAATATCTCGGTGATTAACGACGCCAACGAGGGCGGCGTGAAGTTCGAGCAGGAAGAGTATTCGGTTGAGGTGTCGGAGAGCGCGCGGGTGGGCGACGTGTTGCTAACGCTGCGGGCGCGGGTGCTGGCGGGCGCGGGGGCAGGCGCGGGTGCGGCGGGGGGACTTGTGGGGCGCGCGGCGCCGCGGCTGCTGTACGGGCTGCAGGGCGCGCGTGCGCCCGCAGACGCCGCGTTGTTCCGCCTGCCCGAGCTCACCGGCGTGCTGCCGCTCGCCCGCCCACTCGACAGGTGTGTGAATCTTTTTTTTGACGGCACCGTAACGTAGTGCATTAGCAACGAATTGCAGAGCTAAGGGCCGCGAGTTCAAATCCCGCACTGAACAAGCATTTGTATGGCCTATAAATAACTCTTCCGGGTCTTGATATTTGTCCTTATGAAATTTAATTATGCAAACTGCTCCTATAATACAGGCGAAGATTATAGTGTAGAGGTGACATTTTTTTAAAATAAAATAATAAATAAAGAATCGTGAGAGCACTTGAAATGCAACGAAACGTTCGCCCCATACTGTAGTATGGGGCAAACGTTTCGTTACAGTATACTACAGTTTTAGTATACTCAAACTTGTCAAATACTCATGCACGGCTATCCGCAACAGGCACTTGTCACACCGCCGACGAGGGAAGCGATTAGCTATCGACAATTTTCTCGCCCAAGAAACGAACAATAGACACAGATCCGATGCCAATTAAAGAAATACATTATTAATAGTTGATCGCTGACTGTTCGCACTATCGGCGAGAACTCTCTCTATCTCTCCACTAGTTTGTCGCAGCGACAAGAACTATCAAAAATAAAACTATAATACATATTTGAATTGTTTTATCTTCAGTAAACTTTTTTAGTTTTCTTAGTTATTACTGTTTTAACCATTGGACTTGTTTATGAAAGTTTTGTGTAATAAATTGTTTGAGGTTGATATTTGATGACTTGTTCCATTTTTGCCGAGACTGCAAAGTATGCAAGTATTCCATCCTCCATCGTTTCCAAAACGATTGCACTAACCGGTCTAATAATTTGTGGCGTGCGGAAATGCTAAGTCTGTTCTCATCCATATCTACGGCGGGGCAAATACTTTAAAGGTGTTAAATTTAAAAAATGTGCTGGAGTTAGAGCCAGCGGTTCCGAGGGGTCACTGGACAACGTACGGCAAAGTGGGCGGCTATTCATTACGCATTTAATTTGAGCGAGCACCGTACTTAGCTCTTCGAAGGACAAAATTTGATCTCCTATTACTCGGTATAAGTGACTCTTTAGACTCTTAATATTAGTCTCCCAATTGCCCCCAAAATGACTCGCGGCTGGGACGTTCAGAGACCACTCAATGCGGTTCTCGGCTAGAATGTGAGCGAACTCCGAATTATAATACTTGCTAGCTAAGAGTTCATGTAGTTCTGATAAAATACGTTTTGCACCGACGTAGTTCGTACCGTTATCCGAATATAATTTACTTACAGGGCCACGGCGGGATAGAAATCTTTTAAAGGCACTCATAAAGCCTGCTGTGCTTAGATCACCAACAAGTTCTATATGCACCGCTCGAGTAGTTAGACATACGGAAATGCAGACGTAAGCCTTTGTGGATCTTATACCACGCCCGCGAGTGAGCGTGACCTTAAACGGACCAGCGAAATCAGACCCGGTGTGCGTAAAGGGCTTTACCGATTGTATTACTCTACAAGATCTAAGTTCCGGCCATTTCCGGAAATGACGGCTTGGGGCGTGCCCGAAAGCAAGCTATACATCTGTGCACCCGATTGCGTATTGAACTACGTGCAGAAAGAATCCAATAATTCTGACGCAAGATTGACATCAGCAAGTCAGGGCCAGCGTGTGAATTCAATTTATGATGGTAATCGACTAATAAATTCATGATATGGTCTTTGCGCAGTAAAACTATAGGGTGCCGTTGATCGAAAATCAATTGCGAGTTGGATAAGCGTTCACCTACCCTTACAATCCCATCCTGTAAAAATGGCTTAAGGCGTTGAAAGGCGCGACTACAAGCTCTATTCGATTGTAATCTTGTAATTTCTTCAGAGAAGTGTGCACGTTGAAGTTCAGGTAATACTAGCGAATCGGCATAGTTGTAATCGGACGCTAAGACATACGAATATCGCGGTAAAAGCTTCGCGAATCGACAAACGTAAATTACGCTACACAATAATTTCGACCAAGAGGACAAGCGGTTCGCGAAAGCAATGATTGAAGAAACCTCGCTCGAAACGTTCGCCACTAGAGCGTGTCTCTTCTCTTCCGGCGGTTGTGACACTGACGAAGTTTCGAAATCGGTAATCGGCCATTGCGAGGGATCCAAGTGAACCCAAGAAGGTCCATGGAACCAAAGCGGGTGGTCCATTGTTAGCATCGGGGTGAGTCCACGGGATAGACAATCGGCAGGGTTTTCCGTACCGGACACGTGATAAAAAGTTCCGCGTTTCTGACTCGTCTTGGATCTTGGCCACTCTGTTCGCGACAAACGTATCCCAACGGTGGGGTGAAGAATGAACCCAGCATAAGGCGACGGTGGAGTCGGAAAAGGCAAATATCCTTTCTATGTGAACTCTATCCCTACATGCGCTGATAACTGCGGTAATAAGCTTGGTGAGTACTAATATTGCGCAAAGCTCTAAGCGCGCCAGAGAGACAACCTTACGGGGGGAGACTCTCGACTTAGAACTAATGAGGCTAATCGAATTTCTACCATTATTCTGAACGTGGAAATATACAACGCCCCCGTAAGCCTTTTCGCTGGCGTCTGCAAACCCAACGACAGTTATGACGCTATTTCTATCGACGTTTATATGACGCGGTATTTTAATTTCTCTTAGTAAAGGAAGTTCCTCTCTAAAATGCTGCCACAACCGAACAATGCTGTCAGGCGGCGAATCATCCCAATCGCATTCAAATAACCAAAGTTGTTTAATCAAAAGCTTAGCGTATAATACCACTGGAGCTACGAAACCCATGACGTCCCATAATCTAGCAACGCATGACAGTATTGTACGCTTTGTGCATTTCTCTACGGGCGGATTTACCTTAAGGCTAAACACGTCGGACTCTGGTGACCAACACAGACCGAGCACCTTGTGTGTATCAGAATCGTCGAATTCCTTTATCGCCGAAAGACGCTGTGATAGTGGGATTGTATCCAAAACCGGACGCGAATTACTAGTCCACTTAACAAGATCGAATTGACCTGATTTCATGAGCTTTATAACCTTGGCGGTGGTTAGGGTGGCCTCCTCCACGCTATCGACCGAGTATACAAAATCATCCATATATAAACCGCTCTCAATTGCCCTCTTAGCTTTAGGGTAAGAGGGACCTTCATCGTGGGCGAGCTGTTTCACCGTGCGTAACGCATGAAATGGGCTCGACTTTAAATCAAAACAAACGCGGTTAAATTCAAACACCATTAGAGGTTCCTTTGGGTTGAAACGATATAAAATGCGTTGGAATCTACGGTCGCATTCACGGACCCCTATGCAAAGAAACATTTGGCGAATATCGGCGGATAGTGCTATACTAAACAAACGACAATTGGCTATTATATTAAATAAACTGCCCTGTAAAATTTTGCCCACTATAGAGGATATCGTTAAGCGACAGGTGAGTGCTAGTTTTAGCACTAGCGTCGAGCACTACACGTAACTTAGATGTAAGTTTGTCCTCCCTAATGACCCCGTGGTGTGGTATGAAATACGACGGTGTGTCTTCGTAATTATCTAATTTCGAAGCCACGAGTGATATGTAACCTTCTCTTATATATTCGTTAACGACGCCGTCATAAGCTTCCTTTAACTGGGGTGAAGCGAGCATCCTACGCTCCAAGCTGTAGAAACGTTTTTCCGCCATTTGACGCGAATCGCCGAGAGATAAAACATCTCCTTTAAAGGGTAGCGCTACACTATATCTACCGTCGCGATCACGAACGGTCGTGCGGACGTAAATTTCCTTGCATAATCTGTCATCTGAGCTAGCTATGGGTGGGACGTTCACCTCCTCCATCTCCCAAAATTTGCGGACTAACGACTCGAGCGGTTCGACAGCCATACCACAATAAGAGGTTGCCGAAATACTATCTATGATGGGGGCGGAGCCAACGATAACATAGCCCAATACGGTTTCCAGTGCGTAAGGCGCGGTATGCGAGGAGTTGCCCCTGACCTTATTGTTTAACAAAAGATGAGAGAAAAGCGATGCTCCAATGAGCATGTCTATGTTTCCAGGAACGGCGTAAGTGTCGTCTGCTAGAGTCAAATTTTTAAATTCAATCATTGCCGAGGTGTCAACCGAAACGGTTGGCAGCCGTTCAGTGACCCTATCCACTACTAGTGCATTTATATCAAAGTTAACATTACGATCTATCCGAGAATAAAATTTTAAATTTATATATCCCTGGGTAGCTTTACTGGTACCTCCGATGCCTTTGACTACAGGACACGAAAGTGACCTATTTATTACTAAGCCTAAGCGCTGACAACATTGTCGCGTTATAAAGCTATTTTGGGCTCCGCTGTCCAGCAGTGCACGGACGCTTTGTTCGTTTCCACGCGAATCCCTAACCAAAATACGCGCCGTACCCAGTAACACGGTTGAAGGAGGTTGTGCTCCCATATTCGCCAATGAGCACAGAGCGACATCACCAGGTCGACCGCTAGAATCGTTGACTTTAGTAGGGGTGAATTCCTTATCCGCTTTACTTGACGCTGCTATGTTGCTATTTTCAAAAAGTAATAGCGTGTGATGTTTCCTGGCGCACTTGCTACATACGGAACTCGAATTGCATGATGCAACTAAATGCTTATCACTTAAGCAGTTCAGACATAGGTTGTTTGTCTTTACTAAATTTTAACGTTCGCTTGGTGAATATTTACGAAAAGTTGCAAAATTGTATAAATTACCGTGTTTATCTTTACATACGATACAAGCATGCTGAAGTGATGCTGACGTAGCGGTTACGTAAGTTAACGACCCTGCTATTTTAGATGGTTGAGTCTGTCTACGGTCGACGCACCTTTTAATCTCCTGTTTAACGTTCGGAGAGCGCTGCATCACCTTTATTTGATCTCGCAAGAACGATGCTAATGAATGAAAGGAAGGCATCTCCGAGCTACGATGCTCCATTTCAAACGCACGCACGGTGTCGGGGTCTAATTTCTTTAGTGCAATATGGAGAAACACCACGTCCATAAGGTCATTAAATTTCAAATTTTTAAGTGCAGCCACCGATGCCAGAAATTTATCTAAGAACTGCTCTAAGCCGTTGATGTTCGCGGATGATATAGGTTTAAGATCGAATATCTGGTTCAAATATTCGGAAGCTAACATTCTCCTGTCTTCATATTTAATTTTAAGCGTTTCGAATATTAACAAGTAATTGTTTGCTGTAGGTGTAAAACCCGAGAAAATTGACTGTGCTCTGCCACTAAGTTTACTAATTAAATAACATAGTTTTTCAGCGTCCGATAACGATGGGTTATTGTGTATATTGTTTTGAAAACTACTGAAGAAGAAGGGCCATGTCTTAATATCACCATTGAATACCGGAATATCTATTGGCAGCAACCTAATTGAGTCACGTGGAAGTACCTGTATTTCCGGCTTTGCTTCGTTTTGAGATTGTAAGAGTTTCTCCGTTCTTTTCACGCGACACAACATATCTTCAAATGCTAGAAGCGGTTGGTAGTTCACTATGTATTTCGGGTCGATTTGTAATTCCAAATGATTAATTTGGTCTAATATTCTTTCGTAATCCGTCCGCAAAGAATCTACCGTTTCAATTTCATTCAAAAAAGTTTCCCGCACTGCTTCTACATTGATGTTCTTTATGTGATCACTAATACTTTGTATACGTGAAAAAAGTATGTCCCTCTTGGCATAAAGCGTTTTAATTTTAATTTCATTTCCACTAACTGCCATTTTAAATTATTGTAATAAAGTTATATTAATCACAATTAATCTCACAACGCACAAATAATGAAGGATGGACACTCGTATGCCGTATTACGTAATTAAATCGAACACCTGTTACAGCGAGTCGAGGTGACGCGTGTCGCTCGCTAGACTCAATATATTTTTATCAAAATTGTCGGGTAAGCGTACCAAACGGTTGCGATTACACTATTTCAATTATTTAAGCGACTAATAAGCATTAAATTTGAACCAAATACAAACACTATTTAAATGAATAATTCTGTTTGCGAGTACCTAAGCAAAATTTAAATTTAAACGAACACTATTTAAGACTATTCCATAAACTAGAGTGCATTATCTAAATAATTAATTTATTAATTCGACCAGAAAATGGTTGAACGACTATTAAACACCGGTCCAAATCCGGCTCGAAGGACCATAAAATGGTGGAGCGTCGAGCCTAAGGTTGCCGAAGTCTAATTCCCCGGTTGAACCTTAAAATCTATTACGCGAGCTATTAAGCTAAGTGGACTGTATCTACAAAATGTTTCTACACTTATATAACGGCAACTATAGCATGCGGTATAATGCACTCGCTCTTCCCTAAAACGAACTATTATTTGCCAAATCGATGAAAGGAATCCTGCTTGATTAGGAGAACACAAAATTGGAGCGGGTTAAAACACAATTATATCAAGCAGGCAATACAGGCAATATTATTAGGAATATTGACTCACAGGGGTGTCTCTTCTCTGCTGTTGGGCACTATAGCTGCGACTTCTGGAACTTTTCTGGACAGACACTCTGGAGAGAGGCGGTGCGCGACTATATCTCACACGAGGTGAGGCGGGTTTCCTGGAGCTTGACTGCTTCCAGGCTAAAGCGGTTCTACTAGCGGTGTGGTTCCAACTACGAGCGCGGTGGTTTTATATCTTCGGTTGTGATGATTATTGATATTCTAGAATCATCTTCTTTCCCCTCCCACCCCACCACCCCGATGTGTCGATAGGAGGGTATGAATGATATCGTTTTGGAAAGGGATAACCGATTTGGCAGCCTACCGTCAAATTAAATAAATACGAATGGTTTTCCGCGCAACCAAGTAGTTTTTCGAAAAGAAGTGGTATTCATTCTGTAAATACTACGAATAGACACAAGTTAGTAGTACCAGTTACTCGACTCCACCGAGTCAGTAATTCATTCTTGGGGATGGGGCGATATATACGCTTTTACAACAAAATCCCAGAAAATATACAAAATTTGTTATACACAAAGTTCAAAAATGTTATTAAACTAAGTTTGTATAAAAAGGGTTATTATAATATTAAGGAAGTTATGGATGATAATAACCCCTGGGAAGGGTGATCGCTACCAAGCTGTTTCTAATTTGTCTTGTGTTGTTAATTGTAAACATTATTGTAAGCTATTATTGTAAAAAAAATAGTACCGCTGGGTTTCTTGCTGGTTCTTCCCAGGACAGAGATTTTTTTGCGAACCAGTGGTAAATGAAAAAAGTGACTTTCAATAAGTATTGTTATAATCTACATTGAATAAAAAAGTTTCTGTTTCTGTTTTTGTTTCCGTATGGTGAGTGTAGAGAACCGGAGACCCTTTTTACTGGAAACGAGGCATTTCATCTTAGTCCTCACGGGTGACAGAGCATCTACATTTTGATTCGTAATCTAGGATATATGTAGATGTCTATGGGCCACAGCAACCACTTACCATCAGGTGGACTGTGTGCTCGTTTGTCACCCTATCCTATAAAAAAAAACCTCTCATAACATTTTATTTCTCGACGTCTTGCAATCGTCGTTTCTCACTAGACCTTTATACATTTAGTTCGATATTTTAATTGTTGATATTTTTTTTTATTTTTGGTTAAGAATATAGTAATGACTAAGTTATATTTTTATCTTTGTTAAAAAAATATTGTCCTTGGCCTGAACTTCTATACTCTTTGGCTTCACTAAATTGGTCGAGTAAAATATCGCAGAGTGAGAAGTTAATCTTATACATGTATATGTTTGTCTCTTACTAGTGTCGCTGTTTCGGTTAACTGAATTGCATACCACAACTATTTTAAAAAAAGTTTACATGATCTCTTGCAGGGAGAGTGCGGCGCTACACGAGCTTACGGTGTGGGCACGCGACCAGGCGCCGCGCGCGTCGCTCACGTTTGCGCGCGTGTCCGTGCGCGTGCGCGGTGCTGACGAGCACGCGCCCGCCTGGCCGCGCCGCCTGGTACAGGCGCGCGTGCCGCGCACCGCCGCACCCGGCACGCTGCTTGTGGCCCTGCGCGCCGCCGACCGCGACGTGCCCGCCGAGCTGCCGCGCTACTCGCTGCTGCACGACGCGGGCCTGTTCGCCGTGGACGCGCTGGGCGACGTGAGGCTGGTGCGCGCTCTGCCTGTAGTGGGCCCGCGCGACTACACGCTGCAGGTGCGCGCGCGAGGCCCGCCGCCCGCAGAGCACACCGCCACGCTGCCGTTGCACGTGCTCGTCGTCGAGCCGGACGATTCGCCGCCCAGGTGAGCCGATCGCGTCTAGTCCGCCTCCCGCCTCTTCGCGAGCGGATATTATGTGCTCCGGAGCACATTTTGGTCATCTACGCTGGATAGGATTGTACTCGAGTGTATGCGTGAACACCGGTATACTCATAGTCCTATTCATGAAGGATAGAGAACAGGAGAACGATCGCCGTAGAAAATAGTGTCTCAGAAATATGGACACCTTAAGTGAGGCGCTGCTATCGCTAAGTTTGGTCAATAAAAGTCATTTTTAGTCTATTTTTCTGATCAGATGCTAAACCACTTCCACATAAACGCACAATAAAATATTTCTCCGTTTTTTAATGTTTCTTTTTGTCAAAAATTACAAAATTACGGAGCATGAAAATTTTCTCACCAATGCCGAGGAGAAAATTTGTACATTATTAAACTAACTTCACCTACTTATACTTATAAACAGCTAACTTCGCAGTCACTACTCACCGACGTCAGCGCCGCTATAAATTCTACGATTTTCAAGGACAGGCGGGCTATGCTTTAGTACGTAGTGATCGTTCTCCTGTTCTCTAACCTTCATAGTCCTATGGGACGATAATCTGATACGATCAGAGAGAGATAACGCGCAGGACCAAAAACTTTACGTGCTTTTCGAGGTTCGGGAGTAAAATACCGCAAACTTTCTGGCTACGGGCTGCTACTGAGAATTTTTTGACAGTAAAACCTAGTAACTGATTTAGACCGACCCGAGAATTAACCAAAGATCTTATGATCAGCAATCGCATTAACGGCCACCACACCAACGAAGCTGTCAAAATAAAACCTATAACGCAAAAATTTCACATGTGTATCCAGGTTCGTAAGCGAGGAGGTGGTATGCGAGGTGTACGAGAACGAGCCGGCGGGCACCGTGGTTGCGACACTGGAGGCGCGTAGTAACACCGCCGTGTGGTACTCGCTGAGCGGCGGCGACGGCATGTTTCGTTTGAACCCGGCCGCCGGAGTGCTCGCGCTCGCCGCACCACTCGACTACGAGACCTGCGCGCTCTACAACCTCACCGTTACCGCACTCAACATGGTCTCCATTTTATTCTAATTTTCCTTTAGTTTTATGACTATAACTACTTTAGATATCAATGGTATTGATAGCAATGTAAGGGTGACTTAGAAGTGAGGATATCCGTAGTAGAATCAGAGTAACCAGAGTGGCAGGTGGGCAAAGTGTAAGGTGGCCTCCCACTAGATGGAGGAACGACCTGGTGAGATATGTAGAAAGTGGTGAAATGTGGCTCAGGATCGTGCTTTGTGGCGTTCCTTGTGGAGGTCTATGTTCAGCAATGTTCTTGTGAAAGGCTGTATCGATGATCCTGATGATCCACAATAGTAAATGGCACGTTGCGCACGCAGGGCAGCGGGCGAGCGGAAGCACGCGTAACGGTGCACGTGCTGGACCGCAACGAGTTCGCACCGGCGCTGCTGCGACGCGAGTACACCGGACGTGTGTCGGAGGCGGCGGCGCCGGGAACACTGGTGGCGGACGCCGGCGCAGCGCCGGGCTCGCCGCTCGTGCTGCGGGCCGCCGACGCCGACTCGGCCGCGCACCAGCAACGTGCTTACGAGATCCTGCAGCCGGCCGCCGCCGCGCTCTTCCACCTCGACGACACCACCGGCGCGCTCTCTCTCGCCGCCCCGCTCGACTACGAGCGCGCCACCGTTCACGAGTTCACTATCAAGGTTTCACTTCAATTTTTGCTGTTACGAAATAAATAGATATTCTATATCACAATACATATTAGGTTTACATAATGATTTCTTATATTTACGCGAACACTATACATTGATTAAAACTATTTTTACGGATTTTATCGCGTTTTATTTATATTAATTTTAATACACGACGTTTCGGGTGCTTTCCAGCACCCATGGTCACGGGGGACTGAGGTGACTGACGTCCCGATGTCAAAGTTAACCCGGAGTACCTTCACTTTTTAATTATTGTCTTTGGTCTGATCTACGCAGAATGAACTAACTGTATTTTGAAGTCTTGCAGAGGTATGCTTGGGTTTAGTTTTAATTTTATTAATTATAGGATCCCAAGCAGGTGGTAGCAAACAAAGAGATCAATTAGAACCCGCGTAAAAGAACACATAGCTGACGTGAAGCATCACCGTTCCGGGAAGTCTGCAGTTTGCGATCATATTCTAGACGGCCCCAACCATTATATCAGATTTGATAGACCACAAATCCTCGCGAAAGAACATCGATTCCTACCAAGGATGATACGTGAGGCTATTGAAATTAAAAAACATCCTAATTTCAGTAGAGAAGGAGGCTGGGTACTACCACCTGCTTGGGATCCTATAATTAATAAAATTAAAACTAAACCCAAGCATACCTCTGCAAGACTTCAAAATACAGTTAGTTCATTCTGCGTAGATCGGACCAAAGACAATAATTAAAAAGCTGAAGGTACTCCGGGTTAACTTTGACATCGGGACGTCAGTCACCTCAGTCCCCCGTGACCATGGGTGCTGGAAAGCACCCGAAACGTCGGGTATTAAAATTAATATAAATAAAACGCGATAAAATCCGTAAAAGTAGTTTTAATCAACATATTAGGTTGTAGTTATCAAGGTATAAAAATAACCCAAATAAAATGTTTGTCAGAATTCACTAGAAAAACTCTCATTACGGAATCTAAAAGTTAGAAAATCTAAATAAAAAAAAATAATAATGTACGGTTGTAATAATAAAAGTTCAATAAAGGGTAAAAATAATAAACGTATTATATATCTAATCGTGTATTGTTTGTTGATTTTATAGGTGGTCGACATGGGAAATCCACGCCTGCCGTCAGATAGCGTGGCTAATGTAAAAGTGGAGGTAACGAACGTGAACGATTGTGCGCCGCAGTTCTCGCAGGCGACATACGAAGCTACCGTTCTGCTGCCCACCTTGGCGGGAGTCCGCGTGCTTATGCTGGACGCTAGCGACGCCGACGAACCAAACAACGCCTCGCTGACGTTCGACATCCTGGAGTGCAATCCAGATGGTGCCTTTACGCTGTCTTCAAGCGGCGAACTGCTCGTATCGTCAGTGGAGGCACTGCGCGCCGAACATCGACTGCGTGTGCGTGTCTCGGACGGGCGCTACTCGGCTACGGCGCGCGTGCTGGTGCTCTCTCGTGAGCCCGACAACGCCGGATTGGCCTTCCAGAAGACCGACTATTATGGTTCCGTGCTTGAAAACACCACCAAGCCCGCCACCATAGCCGTTCTCAACGTACTCGGTGCTGCACTCAATGAACATGTCGAATTCTCTATACTTAATCCGACTGAAGGCTTTGAGGTTCATACCATTTTATATTTTTTTTTACTAAAATTAACACAGTATCATTGTTATTAAAATAATTTAATGCAGACTGTAGCTTTTAATTAAATTTCTAATATTGCACTACGATCGTTAGCAAACGAGCACACAGACCATTTGGTAGGGAATGGAGCTGAGGTTTGTTAACATCTACATCTCTTCTCGATTAATAAATAAAGTGAGGGCAATTTTATACGTGGTAGGGCCATGTTGCTGCTGTATTAAGTTGCAGCAAGAATTGGTCCAGGAATAGACACACTATATAGATGAACAAACTTCAAACTTTACACGAACATACACGAACACGCTCAATGGCTCTGACAATTTTTGACCAATTTTCCAATAATTTTATAAATTTTATTAATCTTAATCATTATTATTATAATATTTTCGACTTGTATTTCTACTATTTAATACATTTTGAATATTTGAACGAAGTTTTTTTTTATAAATTTCAACTGTCAACAGTAAGCCTTTAATTTAATATAATATTTAATGTTTGGAATTAGTATACTTGTTATATACTTACTTAGTACTTCGGAAAGTGCTCGACAGATGCGCCATATTGTCAAAAATGACCCCGACATTCGAGTGGATAAACTACACTACGTGCACTACGGCAGTATGTTAACTAATATAAGGGGTTTTCCAATAGGGACTTGACAATTTTGAATTTAGTTTGTGAACGCACCTTTTAACATCGAACTGTCACTGTCAGTTTATTCAGTAGACATAACCTTTTCATCGTGGTGAAGTACACCAGTGGCGAAGCTTCCATTAAAGCCGAAAAGCCGCGCTTGTTTTATTAAACCTGAATCAATCAATAATATCAAGTAATAAAATAACTCGTAAAATGTTTCAAGCTATTTCAAATTTCCCGCGCACTCCACTGTTCGACACATGTCGACCGATGACCTCGTATTGCCTTAGCGATACTGCTGCTGTCATAAAAAATGAGTTTTAATAGAGCTAATAGTTGTCTCTCTCGCTCGCGTGGGCTTTTTACGGGGCTTTTGAGAAGACTATCGCTCTCTTTCTAATCTATGGCAAAATATTCTATCATCATCATCATCATCATCATTACAGCCCTTCACAAGTCCACTGCTGAACATTGGCCTCCCCCAAGTAATGCCACAAAGCACGGTCCTGAGCCACCTGCATCCATCGACTTCCTGCATGTCTTACCAGGTCGTCACTCCATCTAGTGGGGGGTTGCCCTACACTACGCCTACCGTTACGAGGCTGTCACTCGAGAACCTTTCTTCCCCATCGGTTAACGGTTCTTCGATCTATATGGCCGGCCCATTGCCACTTCAGCTTACTAATCCGTTGGGCTATGTCGATCACTCTGGTTTTACTGCGGATATCCTCATTTCTGAGTCTATCACGCAGAGAAACTCCGAGCATAGTCCTCTCCATAGCTCGCTGATCGACCTTGAGCGTCCTCATACGGCCAGCAGTGAAGGACCACGTCTCTGATCCGTAAATCATCACTGGCAACACGCACTGGTTGTACACTTTAGTTTTCAGAGATTGAGGTATACCTGACGAGAAGATGTGTCGTAATTTCCCGAACGCTGCCCAGCCGAGTTGGATCCGTCGATTGACCTCTCGGTCGAAGTTGGACTTACCTAGTCGGACTATTTGTCCCAGGTAAACTACTCGTCAACAACTTTGAGCATAGTGCTCCCAACAACTACCGGCATAGGTGTGACATGGATATTGAACATGATCTTTGTTTTGTCCATGTTCATCTTAAGACCTATCCGTTGGGAGACACCATTGAGGTCATTGAGCATAGTGCTAAGGTCCTCCAGCGATTCTTCCATAAGAACTATATAGTCGGCAAATCGAAGGTGAGTGATGTACTCGCCATTGATGTTAATACCGTATCCTTTCCGGTCCAGTAGCTTGAAAACGTCTTCCAACGCAGCGGTGAAGAGTTTCGGGGATATAACGTCACCCTGTCTTACACCTCTCTGCAGTTGGATAGGTTTCGAGCTCTGGTTCTGTACTCGGATAGCCATCGTAGCCCTACTGTATAACACTTCAGCACTTCGATATACCGACAGTCAACTTGGCACCGCTGAAGGGACTGTAGCACCGCCCAAATTTCGACGGAATCAAAGGCTTTCTCATAGTCCACATACGCCAGGCAAAGTGGCAGATTGTACTCTTCGGTCTTCTGTACAATCTGCCGCAGGGTATGTATGTGGTCTATGGTACTGAAGCCTTTTCGGAAACCGGCTTGTTCGGGAGGCTGGAAGTCGTCGAGTTCCGCGTGCGAGACGATTCGTAATGACTCTCGAAAACAGCACGTAGACGCGGCTCAGAAGGGAAATCGGTCTGTAGTTCTTCAAGAGAGTCGCTTTTTGTCGCCTTTCTTAAAGAACAAGACCACCGCACTTCTGCTCCACGCCTCCGGAGTAGTGCCACCATGGAAGACGAAATTGAAGAGCTTCTGAAGGACTTCAAGTACCGTTGTTCCACCCGCTTTCAGATGCTCCGCTGTAATTCCATCCTCGCCTGGGGCCCTGCCGTTTTTAAGGTGCTGGAGAGCCATTCTAATCTCGCTCGGACTGACGTCCGAGATATCATCGGAATAGTGTCGGGTAAGATTTGCTCTTGGATCGTTACTCACACTTGCGTGTGGCTCCAACGATGATGTGTACAGCTGCCCATAGAACCTCTCAATCTCACTCAAAATCTCAGGTGTCCCGGAAACGATGCTGCCACACTCAGTCTTCAGTTTTGACAGTTGGCTCTTTCCGGCAGACAGATCTCTGGCAAAGACTTTGGAGCCCTGGTTCCGCTCGATCGCTTCTTTAATACGAGCAGTATTAAAGTTGCGTAAGTCTCTAGTAAGATCTGTCTGTTCAGTTGCCTGTATACTGTCAAATCTGTTGACGATTGCAGCCTCATCTCCCGTCTAACAGCCATGAGATTAAGAGTGTGATCGGATAGTTTTTGTGTTCTTCTGCGGCAGGTCTTGCAGAACTTAGCTCCGACCGCATGGACAGTTTCCACGAGCTTGTCATTCATATCGTCCACTGCATTGCAATCTTCTAGGCACTGAAAGCAGTTACGTAACTCGAGCTGAAAAGTCTCGGGATTCTAGATTAGAGCACGAGGGGGACGGAGCGTTGACTTCAATAGACGAGACCTCTCCAACTTAAAGTTTAGGCTCAGTGTGCCTCTAACCATTCGGTGATCGCTGTATCTTCTCGTCAGTCCTCAGGGTGCCTGCGTTATACGTTGCCAGGTCGAGTCGTCGTAGGTGGCAACCGAACCTCCACCGGAGATTCTTAGCACCCCCTGCCCCGCCGTTACCATGGTCGCCACCGTAGCCAGGAATAGCGGGGCCGCCGGGGACTGGGGGCCGTTTATTTAGTTCATTTCTCATGGGGGGATATTTGCCATAGTTGCCACGCTTGGCGAGCGGGTTGGCAACCGCAGTTTTTTGTTATATTATTGTTGTTATCAGGAAGATGCTGCTGCCCATCTCCTGCCTGTCTCCCTCTGTCGCCTCTTACGACACCCACGGGAAGATATGGGGTAGTGGATATTCTCAACCGCCACTACACGGCTAAAAATATTCTATAATTAAAAATTAAAATATTCTATAATGAAATATAACTACGATTGTATATATAGCAATTAGTATAGAGATTTAAAGCCAGGCTTTTGGGAATAAATTTTACTTTAAGAGTGTATTTCAGACTTCATCAATTATCGCAATTAAAAACAGTTATTGGTACAATTAAAACGTTCACCAAAATTTTATGTGGACGTAATTAAATCTTTCCATAAGAAAGCGAGACGATTCCACTTTTATTCTTATCTTATCTCTTATCCATTAGAATGTAAATATTTTTTTTTAATTTTGTACATAGTTTGTTTGTACTTTGTTCGTGTTTTACTTTTGTTCATGTATTGTATTGGATGTAAATATTTTTTTCTTTCGCTTAAACAAACCCAAGCTATGCAATTGCGGATATGTAATACGATCTATCTCGCAGTGGTATGCCTTCTGTGTGCTTTGTTAAACACGTCCTTGACAGCACTGAATATGAAACTGAAGCGTGGAGACAGATCAAGATTGGTGTATTTTTATAAAACTGCTAAAAACAACAATCTATATTTTTATTAATTTATATCTTGGGCTTGCCCTAGCTTGGAGCTCTTGCTTCGCCACTGACGTACACGAACGAACAACGTCTGCAAATCTTAAAAATTTACTACAGAAATTCGGAGTCTGTTTGAGTCTACATATATTCGTTGTGTGATGTTGCCGTGCCAGTGAGACTACGGGTTGGTCGAATTGTCGAAAATATCGCTGCCGTTGAAACATCCGTAGCAAGTGATCCAAATCAGTCATTTTCACGGCGTTATCAAGAGTTGGGCATCGCCAAGACCACTTTATGTCGAATTTTGCGTAAGGATCTTACTTTACACCCATACAAGATCAGGCTCACTCAAGAATTGAAGCCGGTGGACCATTAGAAGCGACGTACGTTCTCCGATTGGACTCTGGAAAAGATGCGCCAAGATGATCAAAATCATCTTCAATGACGAAGCTCATTTCTGGCTCAATGGGTTTGTTAATAAACAAAATATGCGGTATTGAGTGGGTAAAAATCCACATTTGATTAATAAAAAACCACTTCATCCTCAAAAGATAACTGTTTGGTACGGTTTGCGTGCCGGCGGCGTCATAGGGCCATATTATTTCGTCGAAGATAGTGGTCGCCACGTTACTGTGAATGGTGGTCGTTATCGCGCCATGATTATCGATTATTTTTGGCCCGAATTGGAATATATGGACTTGGACAGCATGTGGTTTAACAGGACGGCGTCATAAGCGACACAGCACACGTTACAATCGATTTTTTGAAGAACAAGTTTGATGAGCGTGTTATCTCAAGAAATGGACCAGTCGATAGGCCGCCTCGTTCCTGCAATTTAGCGCCTCTAGATTTTTTTCTTTGGGGTTACGTCAAGTCATTGCTCGTCTAATAAGCCGACGACGTTGGAAGAGCTCAAAGCCAACATTGAACGCGAAATAGCAGCCGTTTCGGCCGAAATGTGTGGCCGAGTCATGGAAAATTGGGTCCAAAGAATCGACCACTGCAAACGTGCCCGCGGTGGCCATATGAGCGAAGTCGAGTTCCATTCATAAATGTTTTGAATGTACTTCAACCCGATAATAAAGTTTTTGAAATATCTCAAATGGTTCTCATTTTATTTTGAAAAAAAATTTGTCAAGTCCATATTGGAAAACCCTTTATTTTGCTCTAAGTTATGGTTATCTCTAAAAGTTTTTGTCGATTGCGAGAATGGCGCAATGATTAGAAAATTGATATGTTAAACACACATACATAATAATGTATATACACGCGTAATAACATAAATACATGTAATTATTGACACTAATTACACAAACACTTCTATGTGTGTCAATCCCACTAATAGTCGCACTGCGGTGTGCGTGCAGATCGGTTTGACATCGGGCGCGGTGGTGGGGCACGGCGCTTTGCTGGACCGCGAGGCGCGCGCCACCTACACGCTGCTGGTGTGCGCGACGGCCGGGCCGCGCCAGGCGCGCGCGCGCCTGCATGTGACCGTGAGCGACGCCAACGACAACTGCCCGCGCTTCGTGGAGCGCCCGTACGTGGCCGCGCTGCCCGCCGGCGCGCCGCCCGCCGCGCCCGTACTGCGTGTGCGTGCCCAAGACCGCGACGCCGGCGACAACGGCGAGGTCAGTGCTCCGTTACATCCTGCACGTATCCGTGAGCGACGCCAACGACAACTGCCCGCGCTTCGTGGAGCGCCCGTACGCGGCCGCGCTGCCCGCCTTCGCACCGCCCGCCACGCCCGTACTACGCCTGCGTGCCCAAGACCGCGACGCCGGCGACAACGGCGAGGTCTCTATCACGCTCTCTTCAAATTCGAAAAAAGTTTGTGAGCACAGTTAAGCAGACAGGATAAATCTTAGAAAACATTACACTCGCTGCATTTAGGTAACGTTATGGGATACCAATAATATTAGCAGAGTAAAAACTACAACAATTAAGTTCTTTTTATCATAATTATATTATTAGAGTGCTTAAAATAAATTATTGTATTGTCATTTAATATACAATGTTGTCACTAAATTGTTACTAAATAGTTATGATATTTACAATATTCAGTCAAACGTTGACAGCTGTTGAATGTTTCACTAGTCTCCTACGCTTTGTAAAGCGAACATATACCCATTGATGGGTGGCTTAAATATCCATTAATTGAGTAGAAGCATTTCTTAATTAGAAATGTTTTAAATGCTGCTTTTAATTTATGAATATTTTCCATTTCATGAAACATAGATGGAACTATAAATTTTAGACAATATACCGAAAACGCGTTTTCTAAGCAAACAAGCTGTATTTGGTGAAGTTGTGTGAATTTTTTCACCGTCCTGTTGATATAAAGGCAGCCGGTATAAACGGAGACTAACATTCTGCGCACGATTGAGTTAGAGTGCACAAAGCGTATTCACTTTTCTCTCACCTTCGTAGTTTGATGAGACGGCAATCCAATTATACGTGGTAGAGCCATGCTGCAGTTATATTATTAGCATAGTTGTAGCACGAATAGGTCGGCTCGACCGGGGAAGGACCACGCTCTCACAGAATATATATTAGCTTAAAGCTGCTGTGTTTTGTGTGGTGGGGGTGGAGAACCGGATACCCTTTTTACTAGAAATAAGGCATTATATCTTAGTCCTCACGGGTGACAAGGCATCTGAATTTTGATTCGTAATCGAGGATAGATGTAGATGTCTATGAGCCATAGCAACCACTTACCATCAGGTTGACTGTGTGCTCTTTTGTCACCCTACCCTATAAAAAAAATCCCACACTATTGGAGAGAAATCAGGTGTAGGACGGACGGCTTTTCGAGGCCCACGGATGAAACCACGCCAACTCTCTGACTCCGGGTTCCCACTAATAGTTTTTTGACAAAAAAACCCGATACATGAGTTTCGCATTGCAAGCATGTGTTTACTTGGCAAAATAGGCTTTTTTAAGTCTAACAAGGTTAGACTTAAAAAACTTGACCTAATTATAAAAAATAGAGCTACGAGTACTCATATTTTTTCTATTGGACCATCTCGAATAGCTTTTATAAATAAACCCAAGAATTCGCAGGCAAGGCATTATCAATACTCGTATTTATTTTTGAACATAAATATTAGTTGGTTTTTTTTTATAGAAGAGGGGGGCAAACGAGCATGCGGCTCACCTGATGTTAAGTGACTACCGCCACCCATGATCAACCGCAACACCAGGGGAATTTCAGGTGCGTTGCCGGCCCTTTAGAAAGGAGTAAGCTCTTTTCTTGAAGGTCCCCAGGTCGTATCCGTCCGGAAAAATTGCCGGTGGTAAACTATTCCACAGAGAGGTTGTACGCGAAAGAAAACTCCTTTTGAAACGTACTGTGGTGGACCGCCAAGCATCCAGATGGTGTGGATGGTATCGGGACGTTTGCCGCGTAGTGCGTTCACGAAATTTGGCGGCTGGGATTAATCCGAACAATTCCTCAGAGCACTCTCCATGGTATATGCGAAATAAAATGTAAAGAGAAAAGCACTCGGTCGTCGACGAATCGAGCCGCTCTGCGCTGGATGCGGTCAAGTGGAAGGAGCTGGTACTGGAAAGCCCCAGCCCAGAGATGGGAACAGTATTCCATGTGCAGCCGAACCTGCGCCTTGTAAAGTCGCAGGCGGTGTGCCGGCATGAAATACTGTCCCGCTCTGCTGAGCACGCCAAGCTTTTTAGAGGCCAATTTGGCCTTCTCTTCCTAGTGACCACGAAACTGCACGTCACTCGATATGTCAACGCCGAGGATTCCGATACTGGTTGAGGCAACAAGGGGAGTGCCTTGAAACTGAAGAGATACGACAAAGGGGTTCTTTTTAGCGGTTAACGCGCAAACTTGTGTCTTCTGGGGGTTAAACTGGACTAGATTTAGTCGCCCACAATCCGAAACTCTGTCCAGCAGAGACTCGATTGCAGACACAAGTTTGTCCCGGCACTCGGAGACGTTTTCCCGAGAAATATTGGCTCGGCCTGTGTAAAGAGCATCACCAGTGCTGTCATCTGCATAGCAATAAATGTTACGGGTTTGCAACATATCATTGATATGCAGAAGAAACAGCTTTGGCGATAGCACGCAGCCTTGTGGAACACCAGCATTAATAGGCTTGCAATCGGAGCTTGCACCGTCTACAACGACCTTGATGCTCCGATCTGCAAGAAAGCTGGTGATCCAATCGCACAATTTCTCGGGAAGCCCATTGGAAGGGAGCTTCGAAAGAAGCGCTTTGTGCCAAACCCGTTCGAAATACTTCGCAACGTCCAAACTAACGGCCTATGCCTCCCCCTTGGACTCCGCCTCCGCCCATCTATGAGTTAGGTAGACCAGAAAATCACCAGCTGACCGGCCACGGCGAAAACCGTATTGGCTGTCACTTATCAGCTGGTGATCCTCAAGGTACCTCATGAGCTGGCAGTTTACAATAGACTCCATTGTTTTCGAGAACAAGGAGGTGAGGGCGATAGGCCGGTAGTTGGACGGGTCTGAGCGGTCGCCTTTTTTAGGGATCGGGTGAACGAAAGCCGTCTTCCATGATTTTGGGACTACGCCTAGGGAGTAGGAGTACCGTAAAAGACGCGTTAAAACCGGTGCCAACTCTGGAGCACACGTCCTCAGCACAATTGGGGGATTCCGTCAGGCCCACTCGACTTGTGGATGTTCAGAGAGAGGAGTGCTTTGCGAACCGAGCGCTGTGTGAACTGCACTTCCGGCAATGAGCACTCACACCGCGGGATGGTCGGCGGCGTACTCCCCCCGTCATCGAGAGTCGAGTTGGACGCAAAGAAAGTGCCTAGAAGATCGGCTTTCTCCTTTGCGGTATGGGCCAGTGAGTCGTCCTCCCTGTGCAGAGATGGAAGAGCTGGCCGACAGAAATTCCCTTGGACAGCCTTGGCTAGAGACCAGAATGCACGGGTTCCAGAAGGAAGGCGAACTAGTTTCTCGCCAATTCTGCGTATATGCTCTGACTTTGCCTTGGCAATGACTCTTTTGAAGGACCTAGAGGCGGAATTATACTTCTTTTTTATAGCGCTGGTGTTTACATCCTGGGACGCTGATGCGTCAGCCCAGGCTCGGTAGCACTCCTGCTTATAGCATGATGCTATTTTACAGGAGCGACCAAACCATGGCTGAGATTTGCCTCCAATGGGCACCACAGAGGAAGGAATAAAAGTTCCATATCCTGAAGTACCACATCAGCGACAGAATCCGCAACAACGTTGGGATCGTCCGGCGAGAAGCAAACCCGCCCCCAAGGGTAGGATGCAAAGAAAGACCGCATTCCATCCCAATCGGCTGACCTATAGTGCCAAACACGGCGGCAGCCTGCAGAATGCAACTGCGATTTCAGCGTGAGTGGCACCACACTCCACACAAGACAATAGTCCAAGGAGCCTAAAGGGGCGTCGACGGAAATCTGATATCCGTCCGGTCGAGAGGTCAGCAGAAGGTCCAACAGGGAAGGTGCATGATCCTCCACATCTGGAATCCGCGTAGGCGAAGTAACCAGTTGTGTCAGACCTTAAGCCAAGGCAAAATCATGAACAGATCTCCCCGCATGATCGGTTAAACATGAAGAAAGCCATTCGGCGTGATGGGCGTTATAGTCGCCGAGGATCACGATCTCTGCGGAGGGGATCTGCTGTAGCAACGAATCTGTAGCCATTTGGACGTGGTCGAAGAGTCGGTTTGTTTCAGCATTACCGCTGTGGGATCTATAGAGGCACCCGTAGACGCGCGGATGGTCGTCGCTGTCTACGCGTAACCAAAGGATGGACAGGTCCGAACCTTGAAGTCTGCCGAGGCGTCGAGAACAGATACTCTCGACGTAAACGCAAACTCCAGCCCGAGGCACAAAGGAGTTTTCCAGTTTGTACCCCGGGTAGGAGAGATACGAGACATCAGCCGGAGAGGACACCTGCGTCTCGGTCAGGAAGAGCAGAGCCGGCCTCGCCGTCTCGAGGTGGTAGTGGACGGCGTTTAGGTTAGAGTGAAGTCCCCTGATATTGCAGAAATTCACGGACAGCGTGGCAAGGGTCGCCTTGGTCTTGTTGCTCCGTTTGCCCCGAGCAGTTGTAGTCTTGAGCGGAATTTTGCCCCCCCTCCCGCAGATTACGCGGGGCATCCTGAGCACCCACGCTCAGAAGTGGAGAAACATGGTCGTGGATGCTCAGCGAGGGATTCTCCAGGGGTGCTGGTACCCTCCTGGGGTAGTCTATCATTATTTAATTCCGCTACCATGTTGATGGGGGGGGGGGGGATTTGGGCCTCCGGCCACCTGCACCCACCAGACGAAACGCGGAAGCAGAGCTTCCACTTCACGCCGGTATTCTGTGAGGTCGTGGTACCACCCCGGTTTGAGCCGGCCCATACGTGCAACAGCAAAGCTGCCCCGTGGCTCTACCAATGTTAACTGGTGTGCCTTTTTCCCTCCCAAACATATCGGCGTTTCTGATTTATTCATTTTCATTACTACTCTATTAAAAATTCTAGATGTCATATTAGTAAATGAACTTTAATTTCTAATCGTACAGGTACGCTACGAAATGAAACGCGGAAACGGTGAACTGTTCCGTGTGGACAGGCGCACCGGCCAGATCACGCTCAAACAAACACTCGAGGCGCATAAACAACTCTACACGCTAGTTATTGCTGCTTTCGACGGAGGTATGGACTTCGTTTCGTTATTTTAAATCGTTATGGATTTCTTATCAAAAATTAAAAAAAAATTGTAGTATAACCGTGAGAACTGAGAGTTTAGCCGAGTAAGCCATGTTCGATCGTCACCGTTACGTCTGTAATGTCATGTTCGAAGTTCGTTATAATGTTTTTAATAAAGACACTGTTTTGATGTCCGTTTAGTGTAAAGGATTAAGTTCGTGTGATAGCATTTATACTACTATAGATGGACAATACATACATAAAACAATTCGCACTAAACTACGGGCAGTTCTCAGCATCCTCTTTACTGCGAGTGGGCGAGAAGACTAGTTCTTTGTTTTTTAAACTGTGAAGTTGTTTTCGAAAATCTAACACTCATTGTGCTAAATAAGACACAATGAGTGTTAGATTTTTAAGATAACGCTGTCATCTTTAATGTGTATAAGTTTTTAAACGTGATTTTAAATTTATTTTAGTATGTAACGTGGTTTTGTACTTGCCTAAAACATGGTCACTGTCGTAAATTAAAATACAGCTATTTTTTGTTTTGTATGTACTACTCAGTGTGAAAGACGTTGACAGCTGTAACACAGTTTATAATATTGTACGGTTTGTAAGGCCACACACTTTCAAGAAGTAGAGTTGTAGTTAGTTAATGAGCATGTAAGAAGGAAAAGATCACCAAAGTTAAAAGTTTCATAAAAAGTAAAATAGCTATAAAGTTATTGTGGCAAATCTTTCCTTGAGTGGTTAGTGTTTAGAAGGACGGTTGTTGACGTACTTGCAATTGAATAATTAAAGTTAAATACACGCGACGCGCGGCTAAAAGTAGGTTGCAGCGTTTACTAAATAAAAATGTGTGATGTAAGCATATGACTAGTATGGCCATTAACGTAAACTTTTTGAAATGTAGCTTTGTAATTTGAAATAGATGTGATACATAAGTGTAACTTCGTGGCATATTCATCATGCCAGCTGAGCCGCCCGCGCCCGCGCTACACAGGCATAGTTGTTCTGAATTATCGGTCTGGAAGTCTTTGGGTTTAAAATAATAATTGGTGACGTCGGTGTAAACAATGAGCGTGTGTCGGCAGGCTCGCCGGCGTGCGGCGCCGAGGCGGAGGTGTCGGTGCGCGTGTGGGGCGGCGGCGCGGCGCCGCGCTGGCCGCAGCCGCACTACACGCTGCGCGCGCGCGAGGACGCGTCGCCCGGCCGCGAGCTGGCGCCGCGCTTGCCCGCCGCCTCGCCGCTCGCGCGCCCACTCATCTACACGCTGCACGCCGGCGCCAAGGACCTCTTCGAGGTGCATTTCGACACAGGTACGCCGCGATCAGAGCTTCCGCGGTCCCCGCTCTCCGCCCCCGCGCGACCTCGTATTAACGCGTGCGTTTTGTCCCGCAGTGCCCGACGGAGGGAACGACCCATGTGAGTGTCGCCGCTTGCTGCGTCTCACTTGTAATCATCGCCGAATCATTTCGCACGCTTTTCGATTTGAAGCTTGTGCATGACATGCAAAGTCTGTCGTTTTTTAACAGCTTCTTCAGCATCCACTAAATTATTTTTGTTCACGTGCTCATGTAATAGTACTCCTATAAATCGTTTCAATCTTGTTGATAAACAGTAATCTAGTAAATAAATTATTTGAATTAAGTTTATGAAATACGTAACACATCATATCCTATTAAATTTGGGATTTATTACATAAATTTTATATCTAAAAACTAAAATTAAGTTGATATCGAAAATAAATTAAGACTTGCATACTTTGTATCGCTGTGAATGTGAAGAGAATTCTCTCATAGTAATATAAATCATACACATAAAGCTTGAACATTACTTACTTTATTATCACTGTTTTGATGTCCGTTTAGTGTGAAGGATTAAGTTCGTATGATAGCATATAATTATAGTGATGTTTTGCGCAGGCGCGGTGGTGCTGCGCGGCGCGCTGGACTACGAGCGCGCGCGTGGACACGAGCTTGTGTTGCGCGCCACTGACGGCGTGACCGGCGCCTTCGCCGACGTATCCGTCACGGTGCAGGTGCTCGACGTCAACGACTGCGCGCCAGAGTTCACGCAGGACGAGTATCACGCTACCGTTTCCGAGGCTGCGGCCGTCGGTGATCTCGTCCTAATCGTCTTAGCTACCGACAACGACACCGGTGACTATAATTGCATAATTACATACCCATACTACCGAAATTTAACCTCACTGCACCCGATGTGATGGGTATCGGCATTTTATTCAATGGACCATCTAAGACTGATAAAGAAGTCAAATGTTCCCATGAGTGAAAACAATCGCCAGACTAGGGGTCACGATGTGACGTGACAAGAAGTATCAGGCAAGGTGAAAGTAGTACATTTTTTATAGTATAATGGTGACAAAGGAGCACATAACCCACCTGATGGTAAGTGGATGCGGTGGCACATTCACGAATTAAAATGCAGATGCGTTGTCATTCAAGAGTCTCTCAAGAATTCTGAAGTCCTCAAGAATGACAATGCACTCGTTTTCTGTAAAACGTGGTGCGTGTTTGTGCGCAGGCGCCAACGGGAACGTGACGTACTCAGTGTGGGAGTGGGGCGCGGGAGAACGTGCGCCGCAGTTCTCGGTGTCGGCGCGCGGCGAGGTGCGCGTGGCGGCGGCGCTGGACCGCGAGACGCGCGCGCGCCACCACCTGCTGCTGGCCGCCACCGATGCCGGCCACCCCGCGCTGCGCACCACCGCGCACCTTCTCATCACCGGTATGCCTCCCCTTTCTCATCACTTCACACCTACTAAATTTTTCCTAAATATCCACTACTGACACAAACGCTTCTATTTATACTCGTTTTACTAGACCTGCAATTGAAAGAAACTGTAATACAGCTGTAAATCTCGCACGGCGCGCAAGAAATATGCCGAACAATTGTATTTTGATTTACGACAGTTACTGTTTTTAGGCAAATAATAAATAAAGTTACATAACTAACTCTATAAACCTCAATTTACATTGACAAATTGCGCACATAACTAATGTCAAGGTATACTTAGTCATATTAATCAAAATTAGTGTTAGATTATCGAAAACAAAACAAAGTGTTTTCGCCCGTTCACAGTCGACCTAAAAAGTTATGGAAAATTGACCGTAACTAAGTGCGCAATGTGTTAGTACCGTAGTGCCGGTCTATTTCCCCGGCTACACATTCGTTGAGTGACATTGGAAAAAGCGAAGAAAGGAGGCAGAGACGTAGTGAGGCCACAATACTCGCCATGCCGCACGTTGTGCTATACGTCATGCCCATCGCTCCCTGTCTTGTCGGTTTTTTGGGCGCGAGTCAAAGGGCTGGCAATATGAGCAGGAGTGGCTGGCCACACACTCGCGCAAACCGCAGTCCGCGTCGAGAGCTCGTTACGACAGTACATCAAGTGTCATTTAAAAATTCATAAATGGTGTGCCTATCATCATCATCATCAGCCACATTATCACACGAGTAAGTAATATAAAGAGAAAAAGCTATCTCGACGAAGACAACGTATATATTTTTATGACATCGATATAATTAGCTATAATAAATACGCATAGCTCGCACGCTGCAACAGATTCAACATCCATTGTCCATTAATTACGTGAGTAGAGCAGTGTGTGGACAGATAGGGTAACATAACATCGCGGCAGCGCGGGGAGCAGAGCATAGTTTGGTTGAGCTATATTTATATACATAGAAGTTTTTGTTGTAACATTTTTCCGATGCACACACATTCATACGATCACAGTAAGCGATCGAAGCATTGTTAACCTCGTATGTTGATTTTACGTTTAAATTTTGACATGTAAAAAACAACGTTCGGGTGAAATCAAACAAACACAAGTATGTGACGCAGAGAATATAAGCCTGACGATAGTCGTATTGATGTTTTTTGCATTCTCCAGCATTGCGTCTCTACGATGGTTCTTTGGTAGGTCGCTATTCTCAATGGCGCTCCCAGTGTCTTGGTTTGACTCACATCTGAGTAGTTTTGACACGTCAGATCTTTTGATGATGGAACTACCGACTGTCCGAACTCCATGTTTTTTTATATAACAACATAATAAAACAGCTCTTTAAATGTGCGACACCGAGATAGAAAATAATAAAATATATAATACATTTTCGCTGACATAACTTTGTTGTTTAAGCTATAGTTATTAGTATAGCATGCTTTACATGTTCTAACCGCTAACTTCACTTCCTCAGCTAACGTTTTCGGGACGCTAATCCTGCTGTCCTATTAGGTGGCGTTTGTTGAGTAAATAGTAATTAAAGAAGTTTCAAAGAACACATTCAGAAATTTGAGTTTTATACAGTCGAAGAAACTTATAAAAAATATTTGGAAGAATTTATATCCATCTAAATAATCCAACACTACTACTCAAAATACAGTTTTTAAAATTTACGAAGAAATATAAATTTATCGAATAAATTAATTATTGATACTAGTCGGTGGAATATTTCATATACCTACATAAATCCATGTGCAAATATTTTCAAGGAAAAGCAGCAGTCATGATAATGGTGGCAATGATGACTACTCAGACACTTGACGAGAGGGACTGGCGAGCGAAATTGAAATGCTTGATTCAGATTAATATTTTTCTTTCGTTCAGATGGTCCTTTTGTAAAGAAATACTATTTAGAAAATATTTGTTTTGCTCACACTACCTAACTGGTTTGAATTGACAGCTATGACGTCAAAATATGGCGTCAGGTCGGATCTATTTTATTCAAATCGCATAACTTACTACTTATGTTTATGCAAAAGTACTATCGGTTTCTTCATTGACTGCGTCTGAGGTAATCGATGTAAAAGTTCACAGTTATTAGACTTAAGCTTGTAGTCATGACATCGGTACGGTCTATAAACTTTATCTATGACAAAAAAAACGTATCAATCCGTTGTACCGCTGTTAAGTGAAAGAAGTACAAAACACCACACTTTTGTATTTTAATAAATATTATTACCAGTTTTGATAACTATTTATTTAAAAAAAGAACTTGCCATAAATTGGAAATCAATTTAATTCTACATCGTTTCGAAAAAAATGTACTACTAGTAAGTAGAATGTGACTGTTCAGTCCCCGAGTGAATCGTTAGGCTCGATACTAATCGTGTCTCAGTAGGCGATCGGTGCCGAGCCAAACGGTTGGCAGGGAGCGCCGGCGAGTTGAAGGTCCGTGTGCGCAGTGGAGGACGTGAACGACAACTCGCCGCGGATGGAGCGTGGCGTGGTGACGGCGCCGGTGTCGGCGGAGGCGACGCGTGGCGTGGCGCTGGCGCGCATAGCGGCCTGGGACCCGGACGCAGCCGACGCGCCGCGGCTGCGCTACGGGCTAGCCGGCGCGCCCACGCACCGCGCACTGCGCTTGGACCCGGCCAGTGGGCTACTCACGCTGGCCGACCCGAGCGCGCCAATACCGCGCTCGCTGAACGTGTCCGTGTCGGACGGCGCGTACGCGGCCTTCGCGCGCGTCGAGCTCGTGCCGACGCCCGCCAATCGCGCCGCGCCGCACTTCCCGCACCTCGTGCACGAGGCGCGCGCAAGAGAGAACCAGCCGCCGCCGCTGCTGCTCACCACGGTTTGACTGCCATTTTGCATTATCTACGTTCGATAGCCTGGCCTCTTAGCTCCATGTTGCAGATATATTTTGGTAATAGCACGAATAATTCGGTTCGACCGAGGTAGTGTATAATAACAGGTTAATACTACTGTGTTTTTCATATGATGCGTATAGAGAACTGGAGACCTTTTTTCTGGGAACGTGGTATTCCATGACTAACCTCAGAGATGACAATGCATCTGGTTCAATTTTAATTGAGAATACTTGTAAACGTATATATCTCTAGATTACAACATTCAACTACCATCAATACTGTTTTAACATTTGTCACTCTTATTCTATAAAAAAAATGAATACCTTGAACATTTTAATTATTAATTGTTATAAACGCTTCTCATTTGTCAACCCGTAAACAGTTCATAAGTTATACACGAACTTTGCCGTGGGAAGGTTTTTCCATCACCGTTTCGTTTTGCAGGTGTTTTAGGGATCGTATTACCGGGTGTCCTTGATATTGTACCTCGTCGCCGCCGATCTAGATATATTACATTTTTGGCACCGAATGCCTTATCCATCGCGGGGTGAAACAGAACGAGTGTTGGTATCCGCAGGTGAAAGCGTACGACGAGGACGCGGGCGAGTACGGCGCAGTGACGTATTCGATTCCGTCGGCACGGCTGCGCGACACGTTCGCGGTGGACGCACGCAGCGGCGCGCTGACGACGCGTGTGCCGCTGGACCGCGAGGCGCGCGCCGAGTGGCAGGTGCCGGTGCTGGCCAGCGACGGCGGCGGCCGCCTGGCACACACCACGGTGCGCGTGCGTGTGCTCGACCTCAACGACTGTGCGCCGAGCTTCCCGCTGCGCGAGTACCGCGCCGCTGTGCGCTACGACCACACGCCCGGAGTGCCGTTCCTCACGCTGCGCGCGCATGACCCAGACGCGCCCGACAACTCGCGCCTCACCTACACCGTGTACGAGGGCGAGCTGCATTCTGAATCCAGCGGCCTCTTCGCCGTAGACCCCGTCACTGGCGCGCTCTCCTTCGCTCGCAACGCGACCGCTTTCGGTGAGCACGTAGCCTTTCTTACTTTTAAAAATAATATTCAAAATTTTAACTATGCATACTGAAATTGTTTTACTATTGGAGAAAAGAATTTGCACATAGAAATCATTTTTTTTTATATTTGAAGTGGGTTTTCAATTTTCTTTTACTTTTTTTACCCTTTTTATTGAGTTAATGAATGTCGTAAATTATAGGTTGTCACTTTTTATTCCAATTTTTTAAATTATAGTATGAATTTTCGTCTAAATAATTTCCATGTTTTCATCTACTAACTTTCTAAATGTAAATTGTAATTGTGTAATGTGTGTAAATTAAGTAAAACATATTAGATAAAGTAAAATAAATATTTCTACCTACTTATATATTGCATGTATAATTGATTGAGTTGCAAAAAGCCATAAAAAACTTAATCAAAAATATATTGTAATTGGTCAACATTTTAAAAACACGTGGGCGCGCGTGCAGCTGGGCGGTCGCTGCAGGTGTGGGTGCGCGCGCGCGATGGCGGCGGGCTGGCGGGCGAGGCGCCGGTGTCGCTGCACGTGCTGGCGGGCGGCGTCGCGCCGCGCCTCAAGCGGCCGCCGCCCGCCCTGTTCCTGCGCGAGGACGCGCCGCCCGGCACGCTGCTCGCCGCGCTGGCCGACGTAGCCGACGGCACAGACGACGAGGCGCCGCGCTACCGCCTCGCAGACTCACCGTCGAGCGACCTTTTCGCGGTCGACGCGGCCGGCCGCCTCGTGCTCGCCGCGCCGCTCGACCGCGAATCTGCTGCCGAACATGTTATAGGTCATTACCTTTTTTGGTCCATTTTTGACATCACAAAGCATCACTCCGCTGGTCGCAGCAAATAGTTGACACGCCTTAGAATTTTAATTATTAGTAGGAATAAGTTGCCGTCCACTTCCTAGTTTCATTATTTTATTGAATGTCCCTAAGTCGTGCCGGTCCACGGAGGGGACGTACGAGGAAGAAAATCCACGCATACAGATGGTGTGGATAGTATACATTCGATTAAGAATCAAAGTGCAGATGTGTTGTCACCCATGAGGACTAAGATTTTTTTATAGAAGAGGGGGCAAATGAGCATACGGGTCATCGGATGTTAAGTGACTACCGCAGCCCACGACCAACCGCAACACCAGGGGAATTGCAGGTGCGTTGCCGGCCCTTTAGAAAGGAGTAAGCTTTTTTCTTGAAGGTTCCCAGGTCGTATCGGTCCGGAAAAATCGCCGGTGGTAAACTATTCCACAGAGAGGTCGTACGCAGAAGAAAACTCCTTTTGAAACGTACAGTGGTGGACTGTCAAGATTCCAGATGGTGTGGATGGTATCAGGAGGTATGCCGCGTAGTGCGTTCATGAAATTTGGCGGCTGGGAATAATCCGTACAATTCCTTAGAGCACTTCCCGTGGTAGATGCGATAGAAAATGCAAAGTGATGCAACATCTCTTCACAGCGCCAGTGGATCGAATCGATCGAAGTGGACTCGGTCGTCGACTGACGAAAACAGTATTCCATGTGAGGCCGGACCTGCGTCTTGTAAAGTTGCAGTCAGTGTGCCGGCATTAAATACTGTCCCGCTCTGTTAAGCACGCCAAGCTTTTTGAAGGCCAATTTGGCCTTTTATTCCAAGTAATGATTGCATACTCAATGACGACGCAAACAAATACATTTTAAACATAATCCAGTGTGCGCGTGTGCAGGCATAATTGCGGAGGGGCCGGGCAGCCCGGCGCCGAGTGTCATGGTGATAACAACATTACACGTGCTCGACGTCAACGAACACGCTCCCTCGTTCCACTCGCAGCCGTACGTCGTACATCTCGCTGAAAACACGCCTCCAAATTCAAACATAATTCAATGTAAGTCACTCAAAGCATGATTCTTCTAATACATTGGGATTTAGTTTTACCCTAATATATCACAGTAGAGGGCGCATGATCTAGTTTATGAATGGACACAGTGATGGCCGACGACCCGGACTCGGGGTCGAACGGCGAGGTGCGGTACTCGCTGGGCGAGGCGGAGGGCGCGGAGGGTGCGGGGGGCGAGGGGCTACCGTTCGCGGTGGAGGCGCAGGGCGGGTGGGTGCGGCTGGCGCGCGCGCTGGACCGCGAGGCGCGCGCCGAGTACCGCGTGGCGCTGCTCGCCGCGGACGGCGGCTCGCCGCGCCGCGCCGCCCGCGGCACGCTCGTCGTGCGCCTGCTCGATTACGACGACTGCCCGCCGCTCTTCCACCAAGACCTCTACGAGGCTGAGGTGCGCCTTTGTTTTCTTATTTTTCAAAACCTTTACCCCCACACTAGGATTTTCTCTTAGTTTTCAAACACAAAATTATTCGTTTGCCGATAACATGAAATTGTCTTTAGTATGTCCAACATAAACGATTACAATTTATTAAGTTTTTAATTTATTAATTTATTTAATTTATTAAGTAGACATAACGTTTAGTTTAGTGTGGCACGTAGTTCACGTATATCACTTAGTTTGTAAGATATTGGTAATATGCATATAACCACGCACTGTTGTTGTATATATTAGTATACTCATTAAGTCTATAGACGTCGTACTATCGTCCGAGATCTGTTTAAGAAAACACATATGTCAAATTTCCTGGACCCAACATTGCATGGCGGGCCTGTCAGGACACTGGATGGCGTCTTAGTTGCCAGATTATCAGAACAGGCCAGGATTCTGGGGTGAGTAATACCGCCGTTGGCATGCCGGCCAACTCTACCGATAAAGAACGAAAATCAGGGGAATAGCATGTAAGTTGAGACCCAACCGACTACTATAAGACTAATGAGAGAAGAGAGGGAATTATTTCGACTTGGCGACTATGGGAGAATCATCTTCGAAGCAGGAGGTAACCATCGCACAGACGACTTCTGAAAGATCAAACGCTACAAAACGCAGATGTGGTAGATATACACGACTTTATTGTTTATCGCTGTGTTCATTGGAACCGTTATAGTAGCTTGGGGGCTTACTTTTACAAGAAATGCCACAGCAATGCCAATAATTTAACTTGTTTAAACATCTGTTTATACAAGTAAAATTATTAAGAGAATCTATAGTTAAGTTAGCACCCACAAGAAGGGTAGATATACACGACTTTATTGTTTATCGCTGTGTTCATTGGAACCGTTATAGTAGCTTGGGGGCTTACTTTTACAAGAAATGCCACAGCAATGCCAATAATTTAACTTGTATAAACATCTGTTTATACAAGTAAAATTATTAAGAGAATCTATAGTTAAGTTAGCACCCACAAGAAGGCAAGGCAAAAGTTATGAATGTAAGATTAGCGAAGTGATAGCCCTTTATAGAAAATTTTAAATTATCCTTTGAACTGGGCACGGATATTCCGATGAACTGAATAAACACGGTATAATAGAAAACCTGTATCAAAAACAATTAGATTTGAACAGGAAAATGTGTATCAAGCCAAAATGGGGTCTGAAATTTTTTTTTTGTAAACCGCGTTCAGTCTACTGCCAAAGATGAATGAGTATGAACAGGTGATCCAAGATTTAATTGTTGCCATAGATTTATATAATTCATTGCTGAAAGAGACAGATTATTATTTAGACTTATTTCTGATAAAAGTTTTTATATAGTACTCGAATATCAGCAGCGACAAAATAATATTTTTTTACGTGGTAGAGTCACGCTGCAGCTATATTATGGTTTTAGCACGAATGGGTCGGCTCGACCGGGGCGGGACCACACTCTCACAGAATACCAGCGGAAAATAGCAGCTTAATGCTGCTTTGTTTCGTATGGTGAGTGTAGAGAATCGGAGACCCGTTTTATAGGGATCGAGACATTTCATCTTAATCCTCGGGGGTGACAACGCATTGGCATTTTGATTCTTAATCGAATGTAGATGTCTATGAGCCACAGCATCTACTTACCATCAAATGAACTGTGTGCTCGTTTGTCACCCTTATCCTATAAAAAAAATATATGCACGTAAGTTTTCACAATAAATAGTCGTAATGTAAGACTTCATAATTATCGCGGCAGGCTTAGTCATCAAAGCCGACAACATGTAGCATACGTCTGGCAAAATTAACTCAATATCTAGTTCACAATATGTTAATAACCCGAAAATAAACGCAGGTCAGTTTTTTGAGTCTAAGCATATTTTAGCTTGTAATAGTATTAATTGGGTTAATTTCTTAGTTAATAATGTATATTCAGAATGGTTGATCGACACGGGTGCGTCGCTATCAGCTATTCAAAATTATTTCTTAGAGTCGAGTTGCTTATGTAATAACATAATTGAGGAAAAACAGTAATTAATGGTGTCGGCGGTAGTTTACAGGTACTATGTTTACTTAAAGAATAAAGTAGAAACAGTATGCATTTACACATAAATTTCATGTTTTTGATACTACGCCATGCAAATCTGTGGAGTTTTTAGGCCAGGATTTAAAAAAATATAAAGGTGTTATAGACTCTTCAGAAAACGGGTGGTCTCTTAAATAGTGTACTGGAAATATTATCTCAACGTCACTTATGTCTAACAATTGTTCCAGGCTGCGACGCGATAAAAAAATACGGTGAACAGTTTTTAAGGATGGGGTAGAGTTATTCTTGATTCTTGGTAGAGCTACGGTGCAAATGTATCTATAATTAGCTGTATATATAATTTGCATCGACGCTAAAGAATGGAATAGAGTAGTTTTTAAGCAATTTTAATTTTATTTATTTAGCTCAGAATCAGCGCAGTTAGTTTAAGAACATTGAACACAGCAGCTATCCCAAACAAAAAATGTGCGCTACTCTGTGTTCGCGGTTGGTTTTTTTATCATAGAATAAACACAGGTAGAACGATCCGTAGGTAATAGTAGATTGTATCGTTAAATAGGTAAATTATATCGAGAACAATATTTCTATTTTGTCATTTATTTGTATATTATATTTGCTCATTTAATATAATATTATATCACAATTGCATTTTAATGATATTTTTATCTGAATACTTTAAAAGGTATCTCAAATATTTAAAAAGGTATGTCAAATATTTAAAAAAAACATACTAAATTTATGTTTAACAAAACTTATTAACATAACATTTACATCATAAATATATTTATTTAAATTAGAATAAGAGTCGTTCGTAAATGCTAGGCACGCGAGAGTTTAAAATGGACGAATTTATTCCACTTTGACTTTGATGTGGAAACCTAAAAATAAAATAAAAGAATAATGAGCAGATTTAAACATGAAAAATTTAGCCTAATTATAATAAGTTATATATTTTTCTACAAAAAATGTGTATAATAATATATTCGTCCTATACTTAAGTACCGTAAGTAAGTTGAAGCGACAGTAGCCTAATGGCAGGGCGCGGACCGCGAACTCAAAAATGTCATGGGTTCGAATCCGCCATTCGACTACTGGCGTGAACCACTCGTAACACAAGCAATTTAAGCTTACCACGAGTGGTTAAGGGGAATTTAGTAAAGTTTATAGCATTGTTAATATTCTTTAAAAAAAAAGTACCCACAGAAATGTCGCATCTGAACATATTAATATCATAATCTATATTCCATGACATGATGGCGTCTTAGGAATAATTTGTTTTATTATTAATATATAATAATTTTATTGATTAAGTATCTTATTTACCGATGAAAAGTAATTGATTGGTTTTTACTGACATTTCTTGAATTATTTGTGCAATATTTAAGTACACACGACAGCGTATTTTTATCAAGAGATTTTTTTTAAATCAACACAACACGTAACAACTCTACAGGCACCCAACGAGTGACTGATTAAAGTGCGGTGTATGCACCGCAGTTGAGTGGAACAGAGTAGCTGAATGCAGTGTCGCCTCTAGTACGTAGTACATAATAGTTTAATGTTTAAGAATGTCGAGGTTTAGTTGGAAACACTAGCTGCCGACGCATGCGCAATGGTTTACAAACGCGGATAGCTTGCAATTGCTATCCTCGTTTAACAAATGATTTAGCGCACTAATTCTCTTTCACTTTAATCTATTGTTGCGCGAATAAGTCGACGTCATGTATCCGGTACTAGCGCCATCTAGTGTCAGGGACGAGAGCGAGGGGAGCTTTCCAGAAAATGACATCACTAATCTTTCAACCGACAGCGTCATCTAGTCTCGGAACGAAGAACTAAGCTTCTAGAAGTCGACACTCGAACTCTCGGCCCCTTGCGCGTGTTTACTTGAATATTCTGAATGTTTCGGTGCCAATTTGTATTTAGAAGTATTGAATTTGGCGAGACAAGCGAAGCTTCGGAGCGAAATAAAGTGAATTAGTGTGATAAATTATTAGTGTTTTAAGTTTAATTAGTGTAAAGTGAATTAAAGAGTTAATTTTGGTAATTCTATCGGCAATTTTTATTGTCACGAACCCTCAAGCTCGTAACACTATCTTTAACAGCTCGTTACGCTTATTTTAACATGGTGCTCAGAAAAAAATAGCTTTGATTATAATACAAGAACGTATAACTGTAACGGTACGCGAGCAAACCGGGTTCGATCCCCGCCGGCACCAATGAAATTGTTAATTGCAATTTTAAGTGCTGATTTACTACGGTGATGGAAAACATCGTGAGGAAACCTGCATGTCTGACAAATAAGAAAAAAATTCGAACGAGTGTGAAGTTCGCCAACACGCATTGGGGCAGCGCGGCGGACTATTCCTTGCTCTAGAACGCTCTCAGAAATGAGAGGAGGCCTGTGCCCAGCAGTGGGATGTATATGGGCTGTAACTTTACTTTACTTTACTATAACTGTAACAAAGTATTACTTGTTTACACGTGACTGCAGAGAGGTTGCGACCAAATGCGCTACTGTAACGAAACCTTTCTACTTGGAAAGGTTTGGTTACAGTAGCGTAACGTAGTGCAAGTAGCGCAGTAACTAACTTTACATAAATTCCTGTATATCAAAATTAGATTTTGATTAAATCTACGTGAACGTAGTAATCTTGCAGCCAGATCCTGTGCTATGTATTTACCACACGTCATTTCGTCAAATGACATTTTGCCTGATCCAGGGAAAATAGCAATTATAAAAAATTATGCGCGTCCGTCTACGAGTAACGAATTAAGGCTTTTCGTGGCGTGTGCCAACTATTATTAGAAATTCATACCCAACTTTGCGAATTACAAAATTATTCCAGTGAATAAGTTATGTCGAAGAAATGTGGTATTCAATTGGAACGATGATTGCAAAAAATCAATTTTGTTAGGTACTCAAAAACTATTTTCCAGATTTTTCTGATAACAAAAATTTTATATTACAAACATTTGCTAAAGTTAGTGTTTTAAGTAATGGAGACGGAAAACCGGATAAAATAAAAAGAATTATTAGCTGTAGTTAGGTCAATTAAATATTTTAGACTATATTTATACAGTAGAAAATTCGTTGTAAAAACGGATCATTGACCTTTTTAATATTTATTTCATATGACAGAACTAAGTTAACTTAATTGATGGGCAATTAAGTTAACTTAGTTTCATATTTCATACAATAAATGTGATGACTAGAGCTCAATATAAGAGTTTACAAAACCCGGATATTCGTGATGAAGATTCTCCGGGTATTAGGACTATGATCACCCTAGAAATGTGGAAGTTCTTAAAAAACAAGGAAATAACACTGAACTGTATAAGTTCAAATTTGTTCAAAGATGTAGGAAAAGTTGTTACATTACAAGGTTGTACAAAAATATTTTAAAATTTGGGCAATGTGTTAATGTATGTGCCAGAAAACTCGTGTATTTATATACTAACTATGAATCTTAATCGGCTTTATCTCGAGATAGCAGATCGCAGTTTTCGATTATATATTTGTCATCTCTTCCTTCTATTCTACGTACATCCGCAACTACACAAACTTAAATATCTTAAAATATCTAAAAATTGTAATTCAATTTGTTAGTTAAGTATATACTTAAGTATATACTTATAAATGAAAACTGTAATTCAATTTGTTCAGATATTTAAGTTTGTGTGGTTGCGGATGTACGTAGAATAGAAGGAAGAGATGACAAAAAGATTATTGTGAATGATCTTCACATTTTGCGCACAAGTAGACAGACATGCAGGGATATGGAGGATGGCAAATTATGTAAAGAAATTCTATTATAGGCATTCAATTGAAAAGGATGTAATCGAATACGTTCGTAAATGTGATGTGTCAGAAGCAAAACTATTACTAAAAACCAAAGAGCTAATGGCAATAGCAAGTATTGCGTCCTCATTCTCAGAAACATTTGGTAAAGATTTTGGCTTGACGGAAAACTTTATTTTAAGGAACGGGATACCTAAAGAGATATCTACAAATTGAGGGTCCAATTTTGTTTCTAAGATAATGGTAAAATTTAGTAATATCTTAAGCATTAGTAAATCATTATCAACGGTATATCATAATGAAAGCATAGGATCGTTAGAAAACGTTTAATAAAACTTTAGATGTATATTTAAGAATACAAACTAACAATAATACACCTTTGTGGAGTTTTGGTTGCCATTTTAGTGTTTCTCGTATTACACAACAGTTAATACCGTAACTAAATATATCTCGTAAGAGTTGGCTTTGGGAAAATTACTCAGGTTGCCGAGTAATTGTTGGGGACGGAAGTATAGAGCCTTTGTATAATTTTAATAAATACCCTTTAGAATTTAAGTATCGCCTATAAAGGGCCCAAGCTGATGCTAAAGATAATTAAGTAGCTAGTAAGATATCAAGAAAACACTGTTATGATAAGACCATTAATCTAGTCGTTTATAAGGAAGGTGATTTAATATTGGTAAGAATCGAAACTGGCAATAAGTATAATATAATAGACTATAGACTATATATAATAGATAACCTGTACGATGGCCCTTTTGAAGTTCTAAATGATGAGTCACTAAATGTTAGGATAAAATACAAAAACAAAATTGATGTAGTAAATAGGAATAATAAACAGGACTAAGTAGTGCAATAAGTAGGATGTAAAAAAAAACTGTGTTATATTCTATTTTCTCTGAGGTTGGTGTTGTAGTGTGGCACGTAGTCACATATATCACGAAGCAGCAATAAGCATATAAGTACGCACTGTTGTTGTATATGTACGAGTATATACTCAATAAATCTATAGACGTTGGACTGTTGCCTGAGATATGTCTAAGACAACACATCTGTCTCATGTTCTGGACCCAACACTACAATATAACATAACATCATCTCTATCATCATCATCTAAATAATCAGACCCTAATGTATCATAAACTTATAAATGTCTGGTTATCATTCAGGATTCTAAATTTTTATTTCATATACATATTGATTATATTGCGAGTAGGGCTTCTTGAGCTATAGAGTTTCTTATAAGGTCAGGCTCGAATTTTAAAGATGCAAAATCTCTCAATTTTTTTTATTGTTCTCAAGTGCGTTGCATATTGGATTATAGTTGACGATTGTAGAATTCGCAGTACTCAGTTTATATATAAAAAGTGTGGAGTCAATTCAAAATTTTTTAAAGTAATATTTAGAATACAAAACCCAAGTTTATGATAGTATATAGACGGCGCATTACATAAGATATAAATTACTTTCCTTACAAATAGAAAAGTTTCCGACATAGCATAGAAATTAATTTAGTAAAAACAAATTTGTAGTGGTTAGTTGTAATGGTAAGTTGCGACTTATATATACTCGTACAAGAACAATTTATTGTAAATAGTTGTAAGTTTTCCGAAAAACAATAAAATGAAATAAAAATAATGACAACTATATGAGTGACTACATTTCCTTTGAGCTGGTGAGGTAGTAGATGAGAGAATTTTAACTAAATAAGTGAAGTTTGTGGCATTTCTTGGAGGAGGCTTGTGTTCAGTAGTGGACTTGTAAAGGGCTGTAATGATGACGATGATGAAACGAAATTTCTAATTGAGTGTCAGTTTTGTGGTGTGTGCATGTGTGCAGGTGCGCGAGGACGCGTCGGCGGGCACAGTGGTGGCGCGGCTGCACGTGGCGGACGCGGACGCAGCGGCCGCGCCACTCGCCTACTTCGTGGCGGCCGGCGACCCCACCGCGCGCTTCCAGATGCGGGCCTCGTCCGCCGCCTCCCTCTCCCCCGCCGCAGAGCTGTACGTGGCGCGCACGCTCGACCGCGAGCACACGCCGCGCTACGACCTGTCCGTCGCCGCCACTGACGGCAAGTTCACCGCCTACACGCGCGTGTTGCTCACCGTGCTCGACGTCAATGGTGCGTATAAGATCTCTGTAGATTTATAATTTTCTCACCAGAAACTTGTGTATTACATATATTATGTTACAGACAACCCACCGTACTGCACGCAGCACCGCCTCCGCTTACGACTGACAGAGGACACAGCACGAGGCTCGCGCGTGGCGGCGCTGCACGTGCGCGACGACGACGAGCCACACAACGCGCGCCTGCGCTTCTACCTCACCGGCGATAACGCAACGCACTTCGCCATACACAAGGTGCGCGCATATATATCACCGGCGACAACACGACGCACTTCGCTATTCAAAAGGTAGACGGATTCTATTCACCGGCGACGACGCGAATTACTTCTCTATAACAAAGTGCGCGCTTCTACCTCACTGGCGACAACGTGACGTAATTCGCTATACATAAAGTCCGTTACCCGGGCGTTGTGACGCTGCGCATGCGTGCGTTACGCGTGCTTGACGTTTGCGCGTTGTACTGTAAGTTATTGTCCATAGAAAAGAGGTACATATATAGCGAATATATTTGTCATTTGATATTGTTTTCGGTCATTAAGATTACTCCGTGTTTGTGGCAGATGTGTCATACCGTATACCGTTGCGCAGGACTCGGGACGCTACGGCATGTTATATACGTCAGCTAATTATGCTAAAATGACTAATAGACCTAGATAATATATCGCACTTTTTAAGCGAAACAAAGCTTATTACACTCTTGCCTTAAAAGTGCCCTTTGCCCTTAAGTTTATTTTTTAGATAAATTTAAGCATGTTCAGGTTCAAAAAAATAAAATGTAAAAAAACGCTAAAGTCAGAAAAAATAGGTAATTATATAAATTTATCTCATTAAGGAAACCGGCGTGATAACGGTGGCTGAAGAGCTAGATCGTGAAACAATATCTGAGTACAAATTGGTAGCGCATGCGCAAGACCGAGACCGCCCCAAGTGGGAGTGTAGCACCGAACTAGAGGTGTCACTCGACGACATCAACGACAATGCGCCGCGCTTCTCCGCGGAAGTTTACAGCGTCACTCTGCCGGAAGACGCCGACATCGGTTCTCTCGTTGCGAAAGTGAGTTTTGCACTCTACACTTTTTACCACATCATACATTTTGTGCGGATTCGTATTCACATTTATCTTCTCCACTTTATAGGTACACGCTACGGATGCCGACCTGGGTGAAAACAGCCTCGTCCGATACTCGTTCGTAGATGAAGGCAACGAGGCATTCGAGCTGGCGGGCGACAGTGGCATCATCACGCTGCGCGCGGCGCTAGACCGCGAGACGCTGGCCGAGCACCGGCTGCGAGTGCGCGCAAGTGACGCAGCCACGCCGCCGCGCACCTCCACCGCAACCGTGCGTCTCACCGTTGCCGACGTCAACGATAACCCGCCCGAGTTCGACTTCAGGCATTACCACGTGGCCGCACCCGAGCTGGACGCGGTCGGCACCGAGCTGCTACGCGTGCGCGCCACGTCGCGCGACACCGGCGTTAACGCGGACGTCTTTTACTCGCTTGTCGCCGGCGACGACCGCGAAGACTTCGCCATCGGCCGCATGAGCGGTGCCCTGACGATAGCGCACCTTCTCGATTTTGAGCGCAGGAAGCAATATATCTTGACAGTGCAGGCCCTCGACGGCGGGACCCCGCCGTTGAGCGACCATGCCACCATCAACGTCACCGTCCTGGATGCCAATGACAACGCGCCGGTGTTCTCGCAGACATCCTACGGGGCGCGCGTACATGAGGACGCGACGGTGGGCACGCGCTTGCTACAAATGATCGCCGACGATGCGGACGCGGGCGCCAACGGTCGCGTGATGTACGCGATCGTGCGCGGCGACCACGAGAACCGCTTCGCCGTGGACGCCGACACTGGCTACGTGTCGGTGGCGGCGCCGCTGGATCGTGAGGCGACGCCCGCCTACGTGCTGGAAATTCGCGCGCGCGACAGCGGCTTGCCGTCGCTTGAGGCCTCCGCTTTTCTTAACATCGAGGTGCTAGACTGTAACGATAACCCGCCACTTTTCGCACAGACCAACTACACCACGATCGTTCAGGAAGATAAGCCGCTCGGTCACACTATTTTAAAATTTGTCGTCGAGGATGCTGATGCTGCGCCGAATACGGCACCCTTCACGTTCGACTTTCAATCGGGTAACGAAATGGGTGCGTTCCGCTTGGAGCCGGACGGATATTTGCGATCTGCCACTCGATTCAACCATCGCATCAAAGACCGATATGTTTTACAAGTGCGCGTATTCGACAATGGAGCTCCGCCTCTATTCTCCGACGCATGGGTTTATATCAAAGTTATTGAAGAATCTCATCATCCGCCGGTCGTTACGCCGCTTGAAATAGTCATAAACTCTTACCTCGATGAATTTCCCGGTGGATTAATAGGACGTGTGTTCGCTTTGGACCGAGACGCTTACGATACTTTAACTTACGCGCTCGCTCCCGTAGACGGTGCACCCTATCCGTCTACTGATCTTTTCGGAATCGACACCGCAGTAGGTACTCTGCGTGCTGCACCACGAATAGACGTTGGGGACTACCGTCTCAACGTGACCGTTGACGACGGCAAATTCGTCAGCTTTGCCATAGTTCACGTAGCCGTCGTGCTGGTCTCGGAAGAAATGCTCGCGCAGGCGATCGTCATTCGCTTCAGGGAAGTGACCGATCGTGATTTCGTTCTTAGCCATCGAAAAGGATTTATTCGCGCCGTCCACGAAGCGACTGGGTGCCGGCAGACGGACGTGGTGATCATCGGCGTGCAGTCGTGCGACGACGACTTCGAAGAAAAGTCGGAGCGACCTCGACGCACCGCCCGCGAGGTGGCGCAAGACCTGGATGTGGCGTTCGCGGTACGTGCGGGTGACGGTGGCGGCTTCCTGCCCGCGGATGCACTGCGTCGCGGCCTGCACGCACACCTCGAGCACCTGGAGGAGGGCGCGCGCCTCGTGGTGGAGGAGCTGGTGCGCGCGTCGTGTGGCGGTTGCGTGCACGGCACGTGCGCGGAGCGCGTTCAGCTGCGAGCCGCTGGCGTGCGCGCCGTCGCCACTGACGTGTTCTCGCTGATCGTGGCGCCGTTCCGTCTGCGTGCTGAATGCGCGTGCACGCCAGGCTACGGTGGCGAGCGCTGCGAGCGCGCACTGCCCGCCTGCGCGAGCTGCGGCGTTGCTCGCTGTGAGCCCGCGCCTGACTGGCCCGGCTACCGCTGCTGCGAGAATGACGCGGATGCGAACGTGGATGGGGAGGAGGAGTGCCGTTCACCGCCCGCCGTCGCCTACTTCCCAGGCGATGGCTATCTCGCGTACGACCTCGACGGTGGCGTGGTGGATGGCGAGCGGACGCCGGAGGACGTGCTGACGGTGTCGCTGCGGTTCCGCACGCGGCGCTCGCGCGGCGTGCTGTTGCACGTAGCGGGGCTCATGGACTACGCGGTGTTGGAGCTGGCGGAAGGGCACGTGCAGTTCCGCATGGAGCTGGGTGGCGGGGAGGTAGCGCTGCGCGCGGGCGGACACGTGGCGGACGGCGCGTGGCACGTGGCGCGGCTGGAGCGGCGTGGCGCCGGCGCGCGGCTCACGGTGGACGGCCGCTCGGCGCGCGCGCAGGCGCCGCCGCGCCACCAGCTGCTGGACGCGCGCGCGGCCCGCCTACTGCTTGGCGCTGCGTTGCTGCGACATGCCTATGCAACCGCGCCCGAGCAGGTACGTTTTAGCTCTTACTTCATAACTGCTTGATTGCTTTTAACAAATCTATATCTATATACCTTAACATAAATCTAAAAATCAAGAGGATGGTCACATGAAACATTTACAGCGAGCGCTTAGACCCTACTACGACTTTACCACGTGCTCAGTGGTAAAGGAAAACGTCGTGAGAAAATCTGCATGTCTGAGAAATTAAGTAAAAATATAAAGACTATTTACGCAGTGAATTATTTGAGGGAAATATAATGCGTCATTTATTGACCTTAAAAAAGCCTTTTACACGGCTGATCATAAACTGCTACTTAAGCTTAAAAATATAGGTATCGATAAAAAAACACTTAAAATTTTCGAATCGCACTTAAATAATACGCATCAAGTTAATAAGTTAATTTGAAATTCTACCCGAAAAATTAGCTGTGGTGTGCTGCAGGGTTGTATACTAGGACAGGACATAATATTACACTTCATACGGACGACACCAGTCTCTTTTAATACGTTAACACAACAGCGTCTAACATTAACGAAACCCAACATAATCTTAATAAAAAAATTGTGGTTGGAAAATAACTTGCTTGTACTTGACTTCAAAAATATTCTGCACGATTTTTTCTTATAAAAAGTAGAAACTTACCGATCATCCACCTCTTATTGTAGCTTGAAACCTTACACAAATTTAAAGAAGAAAAGTGGGTTTTTTACGTGGTAGAGCCATACTGTAGTTATATTAGTAGTATAGTTGTAGCACGAATGGGTCGGCTTGACCGGGGAAGGACCACGCTCTCACAGAATACCAGCGTGAAATAGTAGCTTAACGCTGCTGTGTTTCGTATGGTGAGTGTAGAGACCGGAGACCCTTTTTACTGGAAACGAGGCATTCCATCTTAGTCCTCACGGGTGACAGAGCATCTGCATTTTGATTTGTAATCGAGGATAGATGTAGATGTCTATGGGCTGCAGCAACCACTTACCATCAGGTGGACTGTGTGCTCGTTTGTCACTGTTCAGTAAAATGTTGTTTTTATAATAAGCAAACCCGCCACCAACGCAAGTATGCAAATATGTTCTGTGCATAAAATGTCATCTCAGGGTCACCTATAACAGGTCTCAATTGTAAGTGAGAAAGCAAGTAGTAGCAAATAAACACCAGTGCAATCAACACATAGTTTCTTTTACTCCGCGCCTGCAAACAAAAATAGACCCTAACGCTAACATTTTATGGTCCATCGACCCGAGATTACGGTCAGCGTCGAGAATATTACTGTAAACAAAGGACAGTTCGGAGTGTTAAAAATACGAAAACAATAATTATTTGAACAGTGCAAGACAATTTATTTAAAAAGACAATATTAATTGAAAATTCTAAACACAATATTAATAAAAATATAATTACAAATACATAAGTAATAAAGTGTAAGTTGACGACATTAATTACGGACACTTAAAGTTTAAGATAAATTAAATAAAAGTGTATTTTGGTGATCATCAATTGTTTTGGACATTTAACTTTAATTTTATATCAATATGGAGAACGTTGAGAAAATAATGGCGATCCAAACGGACTATTACGAGAGGTTAGAAAAGGCGTACTCGAATTATAAAAGTCTCCCAAAGAGAGGTTAACTACAGCTTATTTAGAAACCCGAATAGATACGTTAGAAAAATATTGGAAAGAATTTAAGAGTGGCCATGAGAAACTAATTACGGCAGTAACAAGAGAAGAAAGGAAACGACTATCGTATTTCACCAACGAGATTTTCGATAAATTCGAAGAACTGTATTATTATATAGGTGAGATGAAAACAGTTTTGGAAAAATTACTGCCCGAACCTGTAAAGTGTAACCTGGAAATTAACCAATCAAGTGCGCCGAAAGGTAACGATGTAAAATTACCACGTGTTACCATACCAACATTTAGCGGTGACTACACAGAGTGGCGCTCCTTTAATGATTTATTCTTAGCGTTAATACACAAAAATGAAAATTTAGAAGATGTCCAAAAGTTACATTATCTGAAGAGTAATTTAAAGGGAGATGCAGAGATATTATTACGTCAGTTTGCAATCACGGGTGAAAATTATGCCGTGGCATGGTCTGTTCTAAAAGAAAGGTATGACAATAAAAGATTTATAGCTAATTCAGTCTTTAAGAAATTTTTTGGTCAACGTGCACTTTTACACGAATCTTCATATGGCTTAAAGCAATTATTGGACACCTCAGTTGAATGTTTGAACGCTTTAAAGCATCTAGGTTTACCAACTAAACATTGGGATGCTATTGTAAACTATATAATTACATCAAAGTTGGACGCTGAAACTCGTAAACAATGGGAAGAAACAACTGGTAAAGAAAGTTCGGATACCTTGCCTGATTTTGAAACGTTAAAATCATTTTTACACTGTCGGTTTCGAACCCTGGAAATGGTTGAATCTGCAAACAAGTCGACTAAAATAATGATACCTAAAACATTTTATACCACAACTACCGGCGAAATACAATGTGCATTTTGTAAAAGGCCTCATTATATTTTTAATTGTCAACAATATTGCAAACTGCCAATCGAAGAAAGGTACAATTTTGTTCAGAAAACCAAACTTTGCTTCAACTGTCTTATACCTAATCATAATATAGTTCAATGCAAACGACAAACAGCATGTCAAATATGTAAAAGAAAACATCACTCCTTACTGCATCGAGAGAACATAAGCGCGGAGAAGAAAAATAATACACAAGAAACTATACATAACAACAGAGAAACTGAAGTATCAGCACACACATCTACGTATGATCATAACCAATCGTGTCAAACCATGTTGTTGGCCACAGCATTAGTAGATGTCATTGCACCTACAGGAACATCGCACGTCTTCCGTGCTTTAATTGACCAAGGTTCAGAGGCTTCATTCGTCACATCGAGGGTGGTCGATGTGTTGGGTTTGAAAAAATCAATGATCAACGGCGTGGTCTCTGGAGTTGGTGAGATGAACAATCTTTTAATTAATCATATGGTGGATTTAGAAGTAAGGTCTAGATATAATACTAATTTTTGTTTAGATGTTAAGGCATTTGTACTTAAATCTTTAACGCGTAGGTTACCTGCTAGGGAAGTACAAATTAGTAATTGGCCACAACTTAAAACCATGAATCTAGCTGATCCTTCTTATTATACACCGGGAAGAATAGATATTCTCCTCGGCGCAGATGTTTTTGGTAGAATAATTTTCTCAGGGTTATTAAAAGGGCCAGGCAATTTAATTGCACAAAATACTCACCTGGGTTGGATTCTTTCAGGAAATACAAAACAACCACATCCATATGCTCGGAACTCACAATATATAACAAGTTTACACATAAGGAGAAATTTCAAAGAAGATAATAGTCTATTAAGAAAATTCTGGGAAATAGAAACTGAATTTTACACTAATAAGAAGTTATTAACCAAAGAAGAGGAGAAATGTGAAGAAATATATAAAAATACTACAACTCGAGACGAAACAGGAAGATATACTGTCTACTTACCCCTCAAACAAAGCGTGGAAGACACAGTGACCTTAATCGGCGATACAAGGGAACAAGCGGTTAGACGATTTGAGCACCTGGAAAGAAAATTAGACAAAAATGAGGAATTAAAAAAAGGAATACACAAATGTGATACATGAATATTTAGAAATGGGACACATGAAATAGGTTCAGAATGATAATAAAAATATAGCTACTTACCTTCCACATCACGCGATCATCAGAGCAGACAAGGCTACTACTAAACTTCGCGTTGTTTTCGACGCTTCAGCAAAGGGTTCAAACGGATGGTCGTTGAATGAGTCTATGATGATTGGACCTACCTTACAACCTGATCTACGGCATTTAATCATTCGCTGGAGATCTTACAAATTTTGCATTGTTGGAGATATTATTAAAATGTATCATCAAGTAAATATGACACACAACCACACAAATTTACAACGCATTGTATGGAGGAATAATAGATCTGAAAAAATAGAAAGTTATGACCTGCTAACCGTAACTTTTGGAACTGCAGCCGCACCATACTTAGCGGTAAGAACATTGCATCAATTAGCTGATGATGAAGTCAATAGATATTCAAGTGCAGCACCTGTAATAAAAAAATCATTTTACATGGATGACTTTATGTACGGAGATGAAGATTTGAGTAAATTAAAAAATGTATGTTGTGAAATGAACCAATTATTGAAAGACGGTGGGTTTGAAATGCAAAAATGGTCAAGCAATTCTGAAGAAATTTTAAAATATTTACAAAAGGATAAGAAGGATATGGTTGACAGTGTAACTATTAAGTTGGACCAAGTAATGAAGATATTAGGTCTGACTTGGGATAGGAAGGATGATGCATTTAAAATATCTGTCAACTTACCGAGAATACAATACCCTGTAACAAAGCGGTCCATACTATCAGATGTTGCCAACCTTTTTGACCCCTTTGGATGGTCATCGCCAGTAATCATCACAGCGAAAGTCATGATTCAGAAATTGTGGTTGTGTAATCTCGAGTGGGATGATGAACTTCCATATAATCTGGTTGACGAGTGGCTTAATTATAGGCGAGATTTGGTAAATTTACAAGGCATAAAAATACCACGATGGATGAAGATGACATCATACAGCAGGGAAGTACAGCTGCACGGCTTTGCAGATGCTTCTTCGATTGCGTATGCAGCTGTTGTTTATGCAAGAGTGATTGAAATGGATGGTACAGTAAATGTTACCATAATAGCCTCAAAGACCAAGGTTGCACCTTTAAAACAACTTAAAGTACCAAGGCTAGAACTGTGTGCTGCTGTTTTGCTAGCGAAGTTATTACACGACATTTCAGACATATTACAAATTCCTAAAGAAAGGGTATTTGCGTGGACAGACTCAATGGTCGTCTTATCCTGGTTGCAATCGCAACCTAATCGCTGGCAAGTGTTCGTCGGTAATAGGGTATCAGAAATACTTCAAGTAATCGATAACAACAGATG